TAAGTTTAACCACTGTATATTCATGAACATTAAGTAGTGGTCTCTTTTGTTTCTCACATTTCCTTTATAAGGTTTGTTTGTTTACAGATATGGCCTATCTGGCAGTGATGTGTTGGACAATGTAGCTTGTGCCCGAGCCTACAATAGCGATCACCAGTCGCAACTTCTCATACAGGCTGCAGCCATGATGTCCGAGTCAAGGTACTATCATCTCTGTTGTCAGAAATTCAGAGTGTTTAAGGTTTAGACAGATGTTATAGTTAAGTTTCTTGTCCTTAAAGCCTAGATTATTTTGCTGATTGGGTGGGGAGAATAAGAGACTTTATAGATGCATGAATCAATTACAAAGATTCAATATTAAATTATTGAAGATGATGTTTGTAATTTAAAATATTAAGGTAGATTTCAGGAATACCTCGGCTATTAAGTTTGTTTTACTTGTAGGTATGCTTTGCTGATAGTTGACAGTGCCACAGCCCTATACAGAACTGATTACTCAGGAAGAGGAGAGCTGTCTGCCAGACAGATGCATCTGGCACGCTTCTTAAGGATGCTACTTCGTCTGGCTGATGAGGTAATACAATCAAAAGTTTACTGTATTGAAGGTTGGAGTACTGTTTTATATTTACGATCATTTTTAGCTCACCTGGTCAGATGGACCATAGTGAGCTTATGCCGTGGCGCAGCGTCCGTCGTCAACTTTTTCTTTAAAACCTATCTCCTCCTAAACGCCAAAGAGGATTTCAACCAAATTTATTCTGAAGCATCAGTAGGGATGGGCAACCATTTCTTAAATAAATGAGGTTGGTTTGACCCCTGAGGTCAGGGGGGCAGGGCCCTGAAGGGGAACTTAGCTAAATTTGCTTTCAAACACATCTCCTAACACCAGAGAGGATTTCAACCAAATTTACTCTGAAACATCAGTAGGGATGGGCAATCATTTCTTAAATAAATGAGGTTGGTTTGACCCCTGAGGTCAGTGGGGCAGGGCCCTGAAGGGGAACTTAGCTAAATTTGCTTTCAAACACATCTCCTAACACCAGAGAGGATTTCAACCAAATTTACTCTGAAACATCAGTAGGGATGGGCAATCATTTCTTAAATAAATGAGGTTGGTTTGACCCCTGAGGTCAGTGGGGCAGGGCCCTGAAGGGGAACTTAGCTAAATTTGCTTTTTTAAATGCATCTCCTCCTAAACGCCAGAGAGGATTTCAACCAAATGTAGTCTGAAGCATCACTAGGGGAGGGCAATCATTTCTTAAATAAATGAGGTCGGTTCGACCCCTGAGGCCAGGGGGGCAGGGCCCTGAAGGGGAACTTAGCTAAATTTGCTTTTTTAAATGCATCTCCTCCTAAACGCCAGAGAGGATTTCAACCAAATGTAGTCTGAAGCATCACTAGGGGAGGGCAACCATTTCTTAAATAAATGAGGTCGGTTCGACCCCTGAGGCCAGGGGGGCAGGGCCCTGAAGGGGAACTTAGCTAAATTTGCTTTTTTAAATGCATCTCCTCCTAAACGCCAGAGAGGATTTCAACCAAATGTAGTCTGAAGCATCACTAGGGGAGGGCAACCATTTCTTAAATAAATGAGGTTGGTTTGACCCCTGAGGTCAGGGGGGCAGGGCCCTGAAGGGAAACTTAGCTAAATTTGCTTTCAAACGTATCTCCTCCTAACACCAGAGAGGATTTCAACCAAATTAAGTCTGAAGCATCAGCAGGAATGGGCAATCATTTTTTAAATAAATGAGGTTGGTTTGACCCCTGAGGTCGGGGGGCAGGGCCCTGAAGGGGAACTTAGCTAAATTTGCTTTCAAACGCATCTCCTCCTAAACGCCAGAGAGGATTTCAACCAAATTTAGTCTGAAGCATCACTTGGGGAGGGCAATCAAATCTTAAATAAATGAGGTTGGTTCGACCCCTGAGGCCAGGGGGGCATGGCCTTGAAGGGGAACTTAGCTAAATTTGCTTTCAAATGCATCTCCTCCTAAACGCCAGAGAGGATTTCAACCAAATGTAGTCTGAAGCATCACTAGGGGAGGGCAACCATTTCTTATTAGTCTGGAGCATCACTAGGGGAGGGCAATCATTTCTTAAATAAATGAGGTTGGTTCGACCCCTGAGGCCAGGGGGGCATGGCCTTGAAGGGGAACTTAGCTAAATTTGCTTTCAAACGCATCTCCTCCTAAACGCCAGAGAGGATTTCAACCAAATTTAGTCTGAAGCATCACCAGGGGAGGGCAACCATTTCTGAAATAAATGAGGTTGGTTCGACCCCTGAGGCCAGGGGGGCAGGGCCCTGAAGGGGAACTTAGCTAAATTTGCTTTCAAATGCATCTCCTCCTAAACACCAGAGAGGATTTCAACCAAATTTAGTCTGAAGCATCAGTAGGGATGGGCAATTATTTCTTAAATAAATGAGGTTGGTTTGACCCCTGAGGCCAGGGGGGCGGGCCCCTGAAGGGGAACTTAGCTAAATTTTCTTTAAAACGCATCTCCTCCTAAACGCTAAAGAAGATTTCAACCAAATTTGCTCTCAAACTTCATTTGGGGAGGGCAATCATTTCCTAAATAAATGAGACTGGTTCGACCCCTGAGGCTTGGAAGACAGGGCCCCAAAGAGGAAAATTATCTAATATTGTGCTTTAAGACGCTAATATCCCCTAATTGCCTGAGTGGATTGTACAAAATTTGATCAAAAACATTATTGAGGAAGAACAAACATTTCTTAATTGAATGAGGTCGATTTGACCCCAGCGGTCCTAAGAAATGGTACAGCACGATTATCATATTCTATGGTGTAGTTTTCATAAATTGTTAAAAATTGGTTTCTAGGTTTATAAAAGCTTATAGTTGAATGAAAATTTAAGTATTGTCTAATTACACCCTTTAATATGACATATTACTTGTTTCAAGATCTGTTAACATGGCAACTCAATGGAGGCCTCTGATTAGTTGAAAGTCAGTGCCCACTTGTATAAAACATCTCAAAGTTAAGGAAAATCTCAAGCAATGTATTGTCTATGGGAAATCTTAGACTTGAGGAAATCTTAGACTTGAGGAAATCTCAAGAGTTGAGATGTTTTATACAAGTGGGTCCAGATATTGTGGTCCCAGTTGGGTTAGAACATAGATCTTGTCTGGTTTTGAGGAAATTTCATATAAAGATGTACTAATGCATTCAGTTGTAATGACTTAAATATAAAACCAGGTGAGCAATACAGGTCCAATGGACCTCTTGTTTGTTGTTTATAATCATTGCTCAATACCAACACAAGGACACATTTCAAGATGAAAATTTATCATAATTTTAATCTTCAAAGTATGTAATGTTAGCAATTCCTTCACAAGATATGTGAAACAGTACTCACTTGATTCTGTAAAAAACCCACAAACATTTTGGATACTGGTAAAAATGTTTACATGTATGAAGGATTATAGTTATATTCTATGATTTCAGTTTGGTGTCGCTGTCGTGATAACAAATCAGGTGGTTGCTCAGGTTGATGGAGCAGCCATGTTCTCAGCTGATCCCAAGAAACCCATTGGAGGGAACATAATAGCCCATGCTTCCACTACTAGGTAATCCCCAGCATGATTGCTCCCAGACACAAAAAATGTTCAAGTTTTTAAAAACTTTGCTACGGGTGGCAGTACATGTACATGAAACCTTGACTTAATTATATGTTTTATATTTGTTCTTTTCCACTTTCAGATTATATCTAAGGAAAGGAAGAGGGGAAACCAGAATATGCAAGATATACGACTCGCCATGTTTGCCCGAGTCTGAGGCCATGTTTGCTATTAATGCAGATGGCATTGGTGATGCCAAAGACTGATCACAGCAATTGACAGGAGATCTTGGCTACATTACTGGACTCTACTGTAGACTGATCACAACAATTGACAGGAGATCCTGGCTACATTACTGGACTCTACTGTAGAGCTAGATACACAACATCAGTTGTCAAAAAATGACACGTCAACTTGTTGTGTTAAGTACTGGACACTACTGTAGTGCTGATACACAACATTGATGAGGCGGTCACTCATCAATAACTTGACTCGACTGTGGTGCTGAAGTTGATTCATTTATGAACCTATCAAGTTGATTATCATACTTGCCTTGACTGTAATGTGCGAACACATCATAAATAAGCTGAAGACAGCCATTTGTGAAATTGACCATGATGTAGAGCTGATAAATACCATTAACGAGACAGCTGCCTGTTAAGTTGTTTAAAATGATGGCCTTTGCTGTGGAGCTTATTCACAATAATATGATGGATTGAGGTCCTAAACGTTTCCACAGGAGTGATGTAAATCAGGAGACTGAATCCCTGTAGAAGTGAAAGCTTACTGGACTCCAGCAGCATAGGTCGTAATTGCTGTTCAGATTTTTTCTGTGGAATGAAGGCATTTTAAATCTGCTTATGTGACTTGTTCCAAACTGAATGTGAGAAGAGGAACAGAGATGTGTTGTGTATAATTGTCCTCTGTTAATCTATATAGCAGTCAGTTATACAAGATCTTAATTAAATTTGTATGTCATATTTTATAAAGCATTGTATTGCACTCCCTCTATGTGTGACATTATACCTGGTGATTGTGTTGAGTGAAACATAATACAGTTTTACTCTTATCGTTGAATAATTACAACACTGACCATGTACAAGAAGTCGCTGTAGGGATATAAATAGTATTGTTTTTCATGATGTTCGTGAAAGTTAACTGCCAGCATGTGTGATGTGTGCAGTTTATGCAGAGGCAGAAATCGTGGATCGTGATTAGTTGTTCATTGAAAACACATTAAATCTTAACTTGTATATTGATTTGACTTCTTTCACATTTTTAGTTCACCTGCCATGACATGTCATTTGTCGTTCATCTGGCATCAACTTATTTTCTTTTAGCAACGTCAGAATTTTTCGGCCATTAGCATGATGGGATAAAGGGCTATCAGGCCTGTTTAAGTAAATGACCTATTAGTAAACCCACTTTCAAGGTTATAGGGTCGATTTGTTTAAACCTTATCCTAAATAATGAACAAGCCAAGGATGATGCTTGCTGGTGGCATGCTGGGTTGAAGGGCTATAAAGTTTGTTTGAATACATTACCTTGACTTTCATGTACTGTCAGGTTCACAGGGATCAAATATGTGAAAACATTCAGATGACTTCTTCAGGATGACCAAGGTGTCTAGGGTCATGATATTGACCAGTTGCATGCTGGGATAAAGGTCTATCAGGTTGTTTGCAAACCTTAACCAGTTTCAACAAGGTCAAGGCTTTAATAAACATATTAAACAGAAAGGTCAAGGCTTAATCATATTAAACAAACATTGTCTTTCGAAAATCAAGGATGCTTAAGGTCATGATATGAGGCCTGTAGCTTAATGGAGAGTAGTTTTATAAAGTGTGCGGTCTCCAAAAATGATTCATAAGGTGTAGTTTGATAGAAACTTCCTGTATTCATATGTTTTTTCATCATGTGTAGAGTAATGATATTTAAATTTGACCTTTGTCCTCTTTGAAGGTCATTGATGTGAGACGAAAATGGTTTGACAAAACTTGAAGAAAAAGCATTTACAGAAAATCGAAAAGAATTTACCAGTCTTTATCCTGTAGAAAAGTCATGATAAGATACTCACGATTCACCTGTTAGCTCCCTGGCATTTTCTCAACATGTATACATTTATTAGCTCACCTGGTACCAGCGTCCATTAACTTTTCCATTTAAAACGCTACTAGATTTGAACAGGTTTATGAATTTTGACTAAATTTGGCCTGGAGCATCCTTAGGCAAAGGGGACTCAATTTTGTATAATCAGGGTGTGGCCGGCCTTTGGGAAGAAGGACAGGGCCCAATAGGGGAACATATGGTTAATCTTAAAAAAATCCTCTCCTGCTGTACCATTGGAGGAATTTTAACCATATCGAGAGCATCCTTTGGCAAAAGGAAGGCAGTTTTGTATAAACAGAAAATGTGGCCATGGGAGGGTGCAGAGGGGTGGGGCCTAATAGGATAAATTGAGGTTAAGCTTTTAAAATCCTTCTCCTTCCGTAAATTGGAGTTATTAAAACCCTTCCGTAAATTGGAGTTATTAAAACCGAATTTTGTTCCGAGCATCATCTGGCAAGGGGGGCTCTATTTGTTTTAACAGAGATTGTAGTCCCCCTGGGAGCAAAGGGAAGGGGTCCAGTAGGAGGGAAATAGTAGTAAATATTTAAATCTTTAAACCAAATTTTGTGTAAAGTATTCTTTGGCAAAAGGGACTCAATTTTGTATAAATGGAGGGTTGATTTAGGGGGCAGAGGGGTGGGGCACAATAGAGATTAATGTATAAAATCCAACCCCAATTCATGGGGGGGACCTAAGGAGGGACGGGTGTTGTTAATGGGCAGAGCCAATATTTAGAAATAGTTGCAGTAGTATATGAAATACGAATAATTTTCCGTGGTTGCTTTATTATCCAGGTGAGCAATACAGGCCCTTTGGGCCTCTTTTCTTAATTCAACTGGCTATCCAGCAGACATTCACTAATATATTTATACATGAAATGAAAATAAATCTATTGTATCAATATCATTTTGTGGAAGGAAAACGGGAAATATGAAATATTGTCATAAAAAATTATGACATTATAAACATCATAAAAATTGGCTCTTTTGTAGAACCATTGCAGACACTCACCAATTTTAGTAAGGGTTGCTTCCCTTAGCATTGCATCTATTAAGTAAATATTGTAAGTAATTGTATACTGTAAATCTAAATGGAGCTTTTGCATTCATGATCCCAACACTTGAACCATAACCATACGCAAAATAATATATTAAATTCATCATAAATTGGTTTCGATAAAAAGACCACATATGACAGAGCTACACCGTACTGACGGGTAGCTCTGATGTCGCACCTGTCATGCCTATTTATAAATAGCCCAGGGTTTCCCAGCGATTGACACGGTCAGCACATAAACAGTGGTCAGACATTTATTGTTTTATGACTCCAAAAGAAGAGGTATGTAACCTGTCTTCTTTGCTTACACATTCGATAAAAATTAATATGAATTGTAGAAATTAACCCGTGGCACCCTACTATGTTTTGAGGACGCGGTACAGTCCCTTTCCGTAGTCAAGGTAAACAATGTACCAAAGAAAGTTACTCTCCATTTTAGGGCGATTACCTTTTTCGAGATGGTTTTGTAGTAGTGTGTAAAAGTGTGTACAATAATTAGTAATTGCGCAAAAACAAGGCAATGAAATGATGGATCGATCGATAAAACCATGTGTTTATTTCTAGCAAACAAAATGGAAGTGATAGAAGTGCTGACGTAAACAAATGTTAAAGCCCCACCGTCCCTCATGCGAGGGTAGCGGTATTTGAATCATTGTTTAATGTTTTATGATTACCAAACATGGAGTGGCCAGTATACCTCGTTTGTGTTCAACCACATGTGTAAATAGTCGTAAAATTTGGAAGTAAACTCTTATTAAAAAGGTTAACGAAATCTCTTGGGTAAACCGGAACCCATTGAACTGTTAATCGGATTTCAATTTCATTAGCCCAATTAAAATTAAACAAGGATTGAATACTTATGTGTAAATGCATGTGATATATAGTATTTCAAATATCATAATTAGTTTTGTTTTAAATAATGTTAAACCAGTTACATACAGGATGATTAAACTGACACCGTTGTTAATCTCAACGTATGTATAAAACCCGGCCGACCAATTTAACGTTATTATTGTAATTAAACACTAATTCTGCTTTAGATAGGATCCGTCAAAGGGCTCCTACGATATGGAAACGAAATAATATCCTTTATCTCATAATCAAGAATTTGTAGTTAACATTTTTATTCAGCAAACAACCCAGCTGGGTTTCTCTAAGAGACAATCGTAGGCGCTCGGTTGTTATTGATTCTCTTGTGTAACTTTGTTAAAGATATTGATTGCTTTATAGATTATTTGCCTACAAAACTTATCTGTATTGTATCTGACTTACAATCCTCGGGTATGAGCGCCTACCTATTGAAAGATAAACTAAGGGAAATGCATGACCTATCATAAAAGTGGCATGTTAATTTAAACCCTAGCTAAATAGTGACATTGATTGTCCGGAACAAAATAGGCTACCAATTCAGCCTTCTTTGAATAATACCCGATGACGCGCCACAAATACATTGGTGACTCTATCTCAGCTTATATAGGGGCTGGATCGGATATACACAATTGTACAATATATTATTATGTACTATCTTTGTGTAGACAGAAAACTAGTCATTATCTGTGAATATAAAAAAGCTCGTCTCTAGGCAATAGAAAACTGGTCATTATCTGTGAATATAAAAAAGACTGTCTCAAGGCAATAGAAAACTGGTCATTATCTGTGAATATAAAAAAGCTCGTCTCAAGGCAATAGAAAACTGGTCATTATCTGTGAATATAAAAAGAGACTGTCTCAAGGCAACAGAAAACTGGTCATTATCTGTGAATATATAAAGATCCTCTCAGGGCAACCCATTCACGCGGTACATTGAATCGACTTTGTAAAGATCAGAATCCAATTGTTAAGTATACTGATGACCACTCGTCGGAATCAAATAGTTGGGAAAGGTCTTTGAAAGAATCGATCGACGAGTCAAATGCTGTTGTGTTTAAAAATAAATAAATAAAGTTCATAACAACTACCTTGGTACATGTGGAACTTTGGTGAGAAATGAAAGATGTTCAATAGACATGAAATGTGGTAGGTACTTTCCAAATGAACGAAAAAATGCTCGAAAAGTAAGGCAGCGTAACTTGTATCAGAAAGTCGAGAAAAAAATCCACACATTAAATCACCATTCGGCAAGTTCATCCATTTGGGAATCATGCCTGTGTTCAAAACAGAAAAGCAACAATGCAATGTACCTATTAGCTCATTCAACCCTGAAGACACATTTTAACTCTTCCAATTCAAAGGTTGGAATAGTTCATTATGGTATTTCAGTGTGAATTACTTACACCCTCAATACAAATTTGCAACTGTTGGCTACAACGGGTGATGTCTTGTTATATTACTTAATAGTACTTCACGTAAACTGTGCCAGAACAATGGAACAAGAATAATACGGCCCAATGCTTGTTTGATAAATTCAATATACAAACATACAGTATAAAACATTTATATAAATGTCCAATATATCCAAATATCAAACTTTGGAAAGTTACTTATCAATGAATCTGGAAGTTATATATCAATGATAACACTCTGAAAATATATTTTATACTCAAATTGCTGATTGTTACAACGCTTTCATCTTTCAGGGAATACATTTAATGAAAACTGTTTGAAGGGGGACTGATTGACGACCAGAAGCATAAGGAAACCTACATGGCAGGACATACCCTAAGCAGTCGTGACAGCCGGGGGGCAAATAACGGCAGCAGAAGGAACCATGTCGGCTCACATCAACGTGCAGGTTTTAAAGACACGGATCCCGCGTCGACACACCAGTCATTGCACACACGTCATAGTGACGGGCCCAGATATCAAACTAGGGGGGTTTCCAAGTTATCTGGAGGAAGTTCCACACTGACAAAGTTGGGAAGAGGTATGTTTTCAAAGAAGAGTCCGAGGCGGGGAGAGTTTCCTGAAGCCAAGGAACCACCCCTTAAACTGCCCTCGATTCAGAGTACCTCAGAAAACAAAGCGCTAAAATTCAACAATAAGAAGCAGACATCGATCGGTTCTAGGCAGGACAAGGGTGGACATATCTTACTTAGTGATGACGATCTTGATGGTCCCCCTGCACGGGCACACCATTCATCCCACACAGATATTAGTAGAAACCATCTGAATGAAAGTTATGATAGACATGGAATGATATATTTAGGTCCCCTTGCATCCCACTCAAAAATTCCAATAGATAATCAGGATGGAACTGGAAGGATAGATTTAGGTCCTCACGCACGGGCACAGCATTCATCCCACACACATATGAGTAGGCAATCAAGTTATCAATCTGGTGGGATTTCCAAATTGGGAAAAAGTACGTCACAAAACCACCGTGTGGTATATCCAAACCCTACGTCTAGACCAGTCGACTCAAAGCCGGACAGGCGCGGACAACTCCTTTCACGTGAGGTCGTTCTAGAGGCAAGGTTTGATGGTACCGGAAGTAAACTTACCGACTCCAATCGACCGACATTATCTAACAACACGCGTCAGTTAAGGGCACACCAGGCAGCTCACACAAGTAACAGTACGCAGGGATTCAAACCGGTTCAAGGTGCAATAAATGCTGGTACCGGAATCACACCTATCGTCGCTGGTGAACAATCATTTCCTGACAACATGCACCATCTAATTGGACACCAGGCAGCTCACACAAGTAACAGTATGCAGGGATTCAAACCGGTTCAAGGTGCAATAAATGCTGGTACCGGAATCACACCTATCGTCGGTGGTGAACCATCATTTCCTGATAACATGCACCATCTAATTGGACACCAGGCAGCTCATACAAGTAACAGTACGCAGGGATTCAAACCGGTTCAAGGTGCAATAAATGCTGGTACCGGAATCACACCTATCGTCGGTGGTGAACCATCATTTCCTGATAACATGCACCATCTAATTGGACACCAGGCAGCTCATACAAGTAACAGTACGCAGGGATTCAAACCGGTTCAAGGTGCAATAAATGCTGGTACCGGAATCACACCTATCGTCGGTGGTGAACCATCATTTCCTGATAACATGCACCATCTAATTGGACACCAGGCAGCTCATACAAGTAACAGTACGCAGGGATTCAAACCGGTTCAAGGTGCAATAAATGCTGGTACCGGAATCACACCTATCGTCGGTGGTGAACCATCATTTCCTGATAACATGCACCATCTAATTGGACACCAGGCAGCTCATACAAGTAACAGTACGCAGGGATTCAAACCGGTTCAAGGTGCAATAAATGCTGGTACCGGAATCACACCTATCGTCGGTGGTGAACCATCATTTCCTGATAACATGCACCATCTAATTGGACACCAGGCAGCTCATACAAGTAACAGTACGCAGGGATTCAAACCGGTTCAAGGTGCAATAAATGCTGGTACCGGAATCACACCTATCGACGCCAGTGAACCATCATTTTCCGACGACATGCAATTTCTATTTGGACACCAGGCAGCTCATACAAGTAACAGTACGCAGGGATTCAAACCGATCAAAACTCACATGGCGCTCTCTTAACCGGTCAAATCTCACATGGCGCTCTCTAAACCGGTCAAATTTCACATGGCGCTCTCTAAACCGCGCAATGGTCTTTGAAATGAACATAACAGGACACTAGAGAATTGGGAGCGGGGATTGATGATAAAACACACAGAAATGTCAAACACTTGGCAAACAAATCTTCAACAGACAGGCAGAACAATTTTGCAAAATAAAAACGCCATTAAGTCGTACTAAACTCACAGAAATCGGCGTTATTTACTTCTTGGTGGCGAAGAAAAGAAAAGCACATCAAAGATGGTAAGCCTCAGAACCAGGAACTTAATGGTGGATAATTTAAGGAGTTGGAACAAAGTATGTATGTTTACAAATACAGTGGATCGGCAGAGTAAAAGTTAAAGACATCCTTCATGGATTAATGACATATTAACCTATATAAACAATGTTGAACAGACAGGCTCGCATTACTTCAAAGACAATACGACAACGTGTCGTTTTCGCAGAATTTTCTCACAGTGATGTATTCATCCGCGCGTCAACGGCTTGAAATTGACAATCCGCATTAAAAATACAGTATGCTGTTTTGTCGTTATATATCTTGTTTTGATCTTGTTAGATTCTTATTCCATATCTATTTGAGGTCCCCGAAGGGACATTTGTAGACTTAGCGAAATCGAATAGTTTTTCGGTCTAAATCATCCAAACCTCAGTTAAGGCAGAGACGTATACGTCTCTGGTTGAGGCTAATGCCTCAGTTGGGTTCATGTTACAGATTCCTAGTGTCCGACTTAAATAACCTGATCTCGCTCAGTTACAGGTAATAGATTGTATTAGTCCATTAACCTGATCTCGCTCAGTTACAGGCAATAGATTGTATTAAACCTGATATCGCTCAGTTACAGGTAATAGATTTATTAGTCCCTTGACAAACAACAAATAGCCATCAAAAAGGAAAACCGAATCGAAACACCAATGAGGAGGTCCAGAAAACAACACGATCGGTCCTACCAAATCCAGGCATGTAAAATAGACCCAAGAAAATATTCATTCTTCCCTCGAACAATAAAAGACTGGAACGAACTTGACTCAAAAACTGTGAACTCGACAAACTTGGAAACCTTTAAGAAAACTCAACGAATTGGAACTAAAAAAGCTTAAACTTTTAACAGACCCCGAACCCACTAGGCTTAAGGCTGGTTGGTCGAATCAACCAGCTTTAAACGTCTGACACTACATCAGTGTTTTTTAACTTTTTAACTTTTACAATCTAAACTTTTCAATTGTGTGTTCACCTGCGCATTGTGTATCATAAACATTGCATAATCTTCGATAAGACGAAGGAGGCAATTATATGGAAGAAGAAGAAGTAACCTGACCTAGCTTAGTTACAGGTAATAGATTGTATTAGTCCCTTAACCTGATATCGCTCAGTTACAGGTAATAGATTGTATTAGTCCCTTAACCTGATATCGCTCAGTTACAGGCAATAGATTGTAAAAGTCCCTTAACCTGACCTAGCTGAGTTACAGGTAATAGATTGTATTAGTCCCTTAACCTGATCTCGCTCAGTTACAGGTAATAGATTGTATTAGTCCCTTAACCTGATATCGCTCAGTTACAGGTAATAGATTGTATTAGTCCCTTAACCTGATATCGCTCAGTTACAGGTAATAGATTGTATTAGTCCCTTAACCTGATATCGCTCAGTTACAGGTAATAGATTGTATTAGTCCCTTAACCTGATATCGCTCAGTTACAGGTAATAGATTGTATTAGTCCCTTAACCTGATATCGCTCAGTTACAGGTAATAGATTGTATTAGTCCCTTAACCTGATATCGCTCAGTTACAGGTAATAGATTGTATTAGTCCCTTAACCTGATATCGCTCAGTTACAGGTAATAGATTGTATTAGTCCCTTAACCTGATATCGCTCAGTTACAGGTAATAGATTGTATTAGTCCCTTAACCTGATATCGCTCAGTTACAGGTAATAGATTGTATTAGTCCCTTAACCTGATATCGCTCAGTTACAGGTAATAGATTGTATTAGTCCCTTAACCTGATATCGCTCAGTTACAGGTAATAGATTGTATTAGTCCCTTAACCTGATATCGCTCAGTTACAGGTAATAGATTGTATTAGTCCCTTAACCTGATATCGCTCAGTTACAGGTAATAGATTGTATTAGTCCCTTAACCTGATATCGCTCAGTTACAGGTAATAGATTGTATTAGTCCCTTAACCTGATATCGCTCAGTTACAGGTAATAGATTGTATTAGTCCCTTAACCTGATATCGCTCAGTTACAGGTAATAGATTGTATTAGTCCCTTAACCTGATATCGCTCAGTTACAGGTAATAGATTGTATTAGTCCCTTAACCTGATATCGCTCAGTTACAGGTAATAGATTGTATTAGTCCCTTAACCTGATATCGCTCAGTTACAGGTAATAGATTGTATTAGTCCCTTAACCTGATATCGCTCAGTTACAGGTAATAGATTGTATTAGTCCCTTAACCTGATATCGCTCAGTTACAGGTAATAGATTGTATTAGTCCCTTAACCTGATATCGCTCAGTTACAGGTAATAGATTGTATTAGTCCCTTAACCTGATATCGCTCAGTTACAGGTAATAGATTGTATTAGTCCCTTAACCTGATATCGCTCAGTTACAGGTAATAGATTGTATTAGTCCCTTAACCTGATATCGCTCAGTTACAGGTAATAGATTGTATTAGTCCCTTAACCTGATATCGCTCAGTTACAGGTAATAGATTGTATTAGTCCCTTAACCTGATATCGCTCAGTTACAGGTAATAGATTGTATTAGTCCCTTAACCTGATATCGCTCAGTTACAGGTAATAGATTGTATTAGTCCCTTAACCTGATATCGCTCAGTTACAGGTAATAGATTGTATTAGTCCCTTAACCTGATATCGCTCAGTTACAGGTAATAGATTGTATTAGTCCCTTAACCTGATCTCGCTCAGTTACAGGCAATAGATTGTATTAGTCCCTTAACCTGATCTAGCTGAGTCACAGGTAATATATTTTATTAGTCCCTTAACCTGATCTCGCTCAGTTACAGGTAATAGATTGTATTAGTCCCTTAACCTGATCTCGCTCAGTTACAGGCAATAGATTGTATTAAACCCGATATCGCTCAGTTACAGGTAATAGATTGTATAAGTCCCTTAACCTGATCTCGCTCAGTTACAGGTAATAGATTGTATTAGTCCCTTAACCTGATATCGCTCAGTTACAGGTAATAGATTGTATTAGTCCCTTAACCTGATCTCGCTCAGTTACAGGCAATAGATTGTATTAGTCCCTTAACCTGATCTCGCTCAGTTACAGGCAATAGATTGTATTAGTCCCTTAATCTGATCTCGCTCAGTTACAGGCAGTAGATTGTATTAGTCCCTTAACCTGATATCGCTCAGTTCCAGGCAATATATTGTATTAGTCCCTTGACCTGATCTCGCTCAGTTCTAGGCAATATATTTTATTAGTCCCTTAACCTGATCTCGCTCAGTTACAGGCAATATATTGTATTCGTCCCTTAACCTGATCTTGCTCAGTTACTGGCAGTAGATTGTATTAGTCCCTTAACCTGATCTCGCTCAGTTACAGGGAATATATTGTATTAGTCCCTTAATCTGATCTCGCTCAGTTACAGGCAGTAGATTGTATTAGTCCCTTAACCTGATCTCGCTCAGTTACAGGCAATAGATTGTATTAGTCCCTTAATCTGATCCCGCTCAGTTACAGGTAATAGATTGAATTAGTCCCTTAACCTGATCTCGCTCAGTTACAGGCAGTAGATTGTATTAGTCCCTTAACCTGATATCGCTCAGTTACAGGTAATAGATTGTATTAGTCCCTTGACCTGATCTCGCTCAGTTCTAGGCGATAGATTGTATTAGTCCCTTAATCTGATCTCGCTCAGTTACAGGCAATATATTGTATTAGTCCCTTAACCTGATATCGCTCAGTTACAGGTAATATATTGTATAAGTCCCTTAACCTGATCTCGCTCAGTTACAGGTAATAGATTGTATAAGTCCCTTAACCTGATCTCGCTCAGTTACAGGTAATACATTGTATTAGTCCCTACTAAACATTCAAGCCACTGACACGTCGTTTCGTAATCAACGATATTTCGTAAGGCAGCATTTTCAGTTTTCTCGTTATCTTTCGTGATTGTATGTGTACTTCTGGTACAGCCTATGAATAGATTTGTAGGATGTTTTATTTGCATGTTTACTTGTATTGATCCATCAAAACGAAAAGGCAGCCGGCAACGCAACAACAAATGAACACAAAAATAAATACAAAAAACACATCTTCGGATGAAGCGGAGAGGATATTGTATGGAAGAATAGCTTGTGTTTTAGTGAAACCTACCTTAATTAGTGTGTTTCCTTCAAGTATTGAGAACTATTCAATATATGAATCCATGATTTTGTATTTTTATTTCGTTTTGTTAAGTTTTAAACATATCAAATGTGTTGTGCAACAAAAGAGAACAGGCACACGCTTCCTCAATCGAGAAACGCCGTTTCCTTCATGTTTTTGTGGTAATATGCATCCGGTGTCACATGTTAGACGTTCTGATTAGAGTACAGGATGTGCCGACGCAAACTTTCATAATATCTCGCCAAAGACTCGAAATCGACTAGACTCGTAAGGTCACAAACTACAAACAGTATAGGGTACAGGAACTGATCGACATGAACAGCTAATAAACCAGTTTTTTTTTTTTTAAGATTTGATAGATTTCCATGTATACATCTTGTTCGTCTAGTATTTACCGCTTCAAATGGTTAACGTTACTGAGATATATCATAGCTTAAATGTTCTCCAAGACAATAGGCCTCTTACTACCTAGCAATACACACAATATCAGCCAGAGAGAAAGATTGAGAATTCTTCGATCCAGATCATAAGAGTTGCATGTATTCGCGTGGTATGGAGGCCGTCAATTTTAGCAGAGACGTATAATACAGAAACCATTTTTTATCATAATAGACTGGCCCCCATAGTCTCTATGGCCACATATTAGTTGAAACATTCCATTACCTTTCTAACTCTAGTAGAAACAGGTCCCTTTGGCAGCTTCCAACACATTGTACCCCAGTTATGCTGAACGGGAGTTTCCAGCAATCAAAAGCCAAACTGTCAGGAATCATGGTGCTGTAGAAATCGTTTAAAGTTTTTAACTCATTTGACTGTGTCCCTAAAAGTTGGTTATGGTAATTTATTAAACAAGGTTGATGGATCCTTGTCCCAGCAAGCTTACATGGCACATCACCTGACTCTGTGATTATTACTTTTATGGTTCCGTTCCATAGAAGAAGTTTTCCATAGGAAAGGTAGAATCGCTAAAGCACACACTTTGAGGGGCAATGTAATGATAAGAAAACAGTTTTTGCATGTATTTTTTTTAATTCATAAAATAGCATAAAAAATGTTTTAGGTTCTTCTTTAGACAAAATCTGTTTATAAGTAGTGGTACAATAGTATCTATTAAACATACAATACAATTCTATTGTGTACAGGTGGTGTTTGTATTCTTTTTTCCACATTATTGTAAATTTAAATTAATACATGAAATATGAAGACTATGATAGAAATGGAATACACTTATTGTGTTCTTCCAAATCTCATCTGGAAGGATTGTAGGCTGTACCAGGACCACAAAACTACATGCATGGAGTCGACTTAAAAAAAAGGTCAAGCAGAACCTCCTCCTGGAAACAGTGCTGTAAAAGCACTACCTGGCTGACACTGTTCAATCTTTGCATCTTTTTACCAAAGCTGTAACAGTATGGCAATACAATCACCATCAAATAATTCCTAATATGGTGACAGGTTTTGGATTGTTTTGAATGATTTCCATGCATGGATATATTCACTGCTGAATATAAAAATGGAAAAAAATATTATCTGATCCACATTTGATTACAAAGTGAATAAACAGACTTTTCATGCACAAATGTAAAATACATTGCATGAATAATGTTTGTTCCTGTGTGATATTGCATGGATTTTTCTGAAAGCTTAGTGTAATGATATCTTAAGTGACCAGCAGTATACACCAAGGTTATACTGCTTAAGTCTACAGTTTAATGGCCAATCGATCACATTGTAATGTGGTTGTAGACCAAGGCAGGCCAGCCAAGAAAGGAAATCAATAAGGTAGAATAGATGTAGATCGTTTTATCTCCCGAGAGATCAAGATTGCTTCATTTTACATTTTGTTGTCCACCTTTTGGCCTTCATATAAACTTATACAAACTCTGGACACATAAACCATCTACGATCCCTGTAAACATACACAATACACATTTGGTGATATTTTAATGGTTTCATCTTTTAAGATGAACATTATTTTCACGTCTTTTTTAAAAAGGTACCCGGTTTACAAATGATCTATGATACATGATTATGTTTAACATTATGCAGAGTTAAGGAAATAGTTTTTAAACTTTATACAGTTTTACAGGAATACTTTTTAACAGTTTTTAAACATTTTAAATGCTAACCTTTCTTTTTGTCCATGACATATGTGGAATTAGTATGACAAAACCTTTTACAAAGTTTTTATTTCTTTTTTTAAGAATGAACACAAAAGTTTCCTGTCCACAGGGTGTGACACTGTACATTAATGTGACAGGTGACAGATGTCTGACAAAACAATAGTAGCTTAACTGTGGTCACATGTTAGTTACAACTACTTTATTTTGTTCATGTTTCATGTACAAATGGCATCCACTTGTGGTATTTAAAGAGAAAGGTCAGAAGTTGTTTCCTATTCAGATGTCACCACAACTTTTTGTAACTTTTTAATAGTGAAATACTAATGATAGTAATTGAGAATCAAATACATGTCAGCCTTGAGCTTTTGTATATTATGCATAAAATGTTAATATTATTTTTGGCAATACATTTTTTAATTTGTTACAAACTGTGAAAAACTTAAAAAATATAATACAACCTACATTATGCATTTGGTTTACAAGTTGAAAAAGAAATAAAATTTGAATGCATTTTCAAACCCTCATATTATAGCAACAGAAATATTTATCACAGAAAAAATGCGTCAATGTAATATTACATTAAAACAAATACATGTATACAATAGCAAAACAAATCTGTAAGTTACATGGTTGCTCTGCATGTTTAAATTGATGGGTAAATATGGGTATTTCAATCTGACATTTACAATATTACCACAGTTATGCCCTTCTTTAGGACACATATCACAATAAATGAAATCACCATTTGTTAGTGCTTTTTCATCCCCAGAACAGGAGGGAGTGAATTGGAAGGAGAGTAATCCGGCACCTATTGTACTCGTTACGATTGCTATTTCTCCATTGAATCAAACCATGGCAGCTCATACAAATACAAGAGAGTTCTAAATTCTGATTAACACAATTGCAATATGGCACACTCTGGTTAAAAATACAAGTACTGGTGTATATAAAATATCTTAACAAAAAGAGTATTATTGTTTTAATCTGGAATATGTCTATGCTATATATGAACACATGAGATAATGGATGAAAGAGGCAAATCATGATTCAACATAAGAAATTTTCCTGAAGACCCCCCCCCCCCATCAAGATATTCATAAATTATCAGGGTAAACCAGTAATGAAGCTGTCTGAAGTAGGGCCAGCATCACTGGTGTAAAAAATTGGTAATTATGTTTCAACTTATTATATCGATGTAGTCAAAATAAATAAATAATTGTAATATATTTGATTATAACTGTGCTTTAGGTAAAGAGTACCATTAAGTTAAGACTTACTGCCATTTTAACTATTATGAAAGTCATTTTCTGCCGATACATACTTTGTATAAATCACATCTTGCAGTGCAGTTTACAGAAACTTCATTAAGAAATCAAAATAAAGAAAAAAACAAGAACTACAGGGGCTGAACTTCGTACATATACCATGCTAATCCTTCACTCTACCAATGCTATTATTTAGGATTTACAGATGTACATCATAAAAATGAGAGATGAATTCTTTGACAAGGGAAGTAACTCTATGCCAGAAAAACTCTCTTTGTCGTTTGTACAGCTTTGAAGTGGTACCCTTTACCTTATTACACAAAACATTCACGTAGAAAATTCAAAGAACAACATTCATCTGGAAATATTCTGATTAAATACCTATTGTACAGATAATAGTTTTGATTATAACATCCATTTCCTTATTTACCCGTATATCTACTTCTGTTAGGGTTCTATTTCCATCACATACATGTACATCATGTGGTTACTCTCCAATACATTTCTACTTGCAGTGCAATTAGAAGGACCATTAATTCATATCAGAATTCTTATTCTTAAACATTCTTACATAAAGCATTAAATGAATGGCTCTCTATAATCTATAGCTTATGGAGTTATAAATAGATGTGCATAAACAGAAACTGATCAAAAGTCAGTCCTTAGAATTTGCTTAAAGACAAAACTTTTTTCCTCATCAACCAACTGATTTTTCAAAATACTTGATTTCAAATTCAGTTTACCAAAGGAGGGAAATCACAGCCGATAAAAAAATGCATGCTAATCATTTCAAACAACAGCCCCAGTGATATTTATCAGCTTTACATCATCGTGCTTCCATATAAACACATACATTTTGGTTGTTATTTTCCATGTTACTAAGCTAAAACAGAAATTACAAAATAATAAAAAATAAATAAAATGATCTTGACTCAAACAGCACAAGTTCTGTGGAATAACTTTTACACGTTTAACTTGTGGAGAACTGTGGGGGCAAGTAACTAATAGTGTGGGGACAAGAACAAGTAACTAATAGTGTGGGGACAAGTAACTAATAGTGTAAAACACATAAAATGACAACTATTTGGTGGGATTGATATCAGCTGGGTAAAACAAAATGGCCCTACTAACCAGTCGGCAGGTAAATACAAAATGGTTCTACTAACCAGATGGCAGGTAAATACAAAATGGTTCTACTAATCAGTCGGCAGGTAAATACAAAATGGTTCTACTAACCAGTCGGCAGGTAAATACAAAATGGTTCTACTAATCAGTCGGCAGGTAAATACAAAATGGTTCTACTAATCAGTCGACAGGTAAATACAAAATGGTTCTAATAAACAGTCGACAGGTAAATACAAAATGGTTCTACTAGTCAGTCGACAGGTAAATACAAAATGGTTCTAATAAACAGTCGGCAGGTAAATATACAAGAGGCCCATGGGCCTTAACGGTCACCTGAGTCCTACAGTATTTATTTTTGTTGTTGAAATATGTACCAATTTGAGTAAAAAATAGTTAAGTATAATGTTAACTTAACTTTGTCAGGACCATGAGCTGATCATTCCTAGACCGATTTTAAATAAGATCGGCCTATTAGAAATTGCTTTTAAGTTTAGAATAGGTATTTACAAAATAGCGGCTGTGGTGGCCATATTGGATTTCTGATCAACCGGAAAAATAACAACACTTTGTCAGGACCATGAGGCGATCATTCCTACCAACTTTCAGTTCAATCGGTCCAGCAGAACTTGACTTTAAGTTTGAAATAGGTTTTCAAAATGGCGGCCGTGGCGGCCATATTGGATTTCTGATCGACCCGAAAAATAACAACACTTTGTCAGGACCATGAGGCGATCATTCCTACCAACTTTCAGTTCAATCGGTCCAGCAGAACTTGACTTTAAGTTTGAAATAGGTTTTCAAAATGGCGGCCGTGGCGGCCATATTGGATTTCTGATCGACCCGAAAAATAACAACACTTTGTCAGGACCATGAGGCGATCATTCCTACCAACTTTCAGTTCAATCGGCCCAGCAGAACTTGACTTTAAGTTTGAAATGTAAAATGTTAACGGACGACGGACGACGGACGACGACGGCCGAAAACGGATAGCAATAGGTCACTTGAGCTAAAGCTCAGGTGACCTAAAAATGGTTCTACTAACCTGTCGGCAGGCTACAATGAGCAAGCTATAACAAATGGCTCTAACTAATAAATATGACAAAGTTGAAGTACCCTGACTTACGTTCAGATGTTACACAAAATGCCTAGACCAGTGTGATCATCCGTAAAAAATCAACAATAAACATTTTAACTTGTTGTACCTACTAAAATTTAAAGGAAAATGTTTGCAAGAAAAACTTGTTATTTTCTACATGTATCATTTGCAACAATGGAAAAATAATATGATCCAGAGGAGACCGCAAACATTACAATATACTTTGGAATTCAATAATTTCCAAGTACCTGGGTATACATCATCTAAATTATACTGTATATGTAGGTATCTGAATCGTGTAACTATTTATGTATATATTTTAATGGCACTTTTGTAAAATATCCCCTATGAATTTAATTATGGCTGTCTGTAACCACATACAGCTCCTAACCTGTTATCAGGCTGCAGCCTGCTGCCCATATACACAGGATATGGTTTATAGCAGAAGCGTAATTATATTACAAAATTATAAACTTGAGCATTCACATTTCCTTTAGTTTAAGATGATATTGCACATACTCTCCAAGGTGTGACCTATCTGATAGGTCGTCAACTATTAGATACAAAACACATTTCATATACATAGGTCACCCACTAGTACAAGTATAAACAAGATATAGTCATACCAGGATAGCCACAGCAAAGCTAAACATATACATAGGTCACCCACTAGTACAAGTACAAACAAGATATAGTCATAACAGGATAGCCACAGCAAAACTAAACATATGACCCTGTAGACATAAAAATATCAATCAGGAAAACAGGTTTCAAAATCAGAGTCACATTGACAACTATAGAAATGGCTGTGAGTACATAACTTCTATCTGGTCGAATCATACAGTGAATAGGCAACACAGTAATAAATATATAGGGAAAGACATGAAGCCTCTTTAACATTCCATGGTTATTTTATTTAAAAAAAATATAAAACACTATATAACATTAATTTATATTTGAGAAATATTATCAGTATTTCTCACATCAAAACATGTATCAATGTACCAGCACTCATTATATGGAATGTAAATGTTACATATTTTTCTCACATGTTCTCCTTTCCATAAAAGAATGATTGTATTTCAAAATTTCAGATCTCTTTCAAAATTTTCAGCAGAAATTATCGGTCTGAAAAATAACCATGCTATTGATAAATACACAATATACAATCAATGATGTCATATTTAGAAAAGCCAACATGGGGTCTATGAGACTGGTTAAATTTAAGTGTCATTAACAAAACAAAACAAATATTCCATTTTCCCCCCGTTGTTTTTGTATAATTTGAGGACTACAGAATGAAGACAATACATTGTTAGTTGATCAAAAATAGTACTGGGCTCAAAATAGAAAGAACCCACTAGGTAGCCTGACCCAGTAAGGCCGGATTCAACAGGAAACGCTGTCAATCCAGTGAAATCAGAGCTGAAACTGGGGAATGATTTATTTATCAGTGATTGGTCAAAATAAGTCTAGGTAAGTCTGGACGGAAAAATTTGAAAATTCTCAGGATCAGTACTGACCAGAACGGCCTCAAGTAATGACTCTCTTCAGTTGTAACCAGTAACTACATTAGCAACTCTTCTATGGGTCATTAGTAACCAGTGACCCCTAGTAGTGACTCTCCTTTGGGTCATTAGTAACCAGTGACCTCTAGTAGTGACTCTCCTTTGGGTCATCAGTAACCAGTGACCTCTAGTAGTGACTCTCCTTTGGGTCAATAGTAACCAGTGACCCCTAGTAGTGACTCTCCTTTGGGTCATCAGTAACCAGTGACCCCTAGTAGTGACTCTCCTTTGGGTCATTAGTAACCAGTGACCTCTAGTAGTGACTCTCCTTTGGGTCATCAGTAACCAGTGACCCCTAGTAGTGACTCTCCTTTGGGTCATCAGTAACCAGTGACCCCTAGTAGTGACTCTCCTTTGGGTCATTAGTAACCAGTGACCTCTAGTAGTGACTCTCCTTTGGGTCATTAGTAACCAGTGACCCCTAGTAGTGACTCTCCTTTGGGTCATCAGTAACCAGTGACCCCTAGTAGTGACTCTCCTTTGGGTCATTAGTAACCAGTGACCTCTAGTAGTGACTCTCCTTTGGGTCATCAGTAACCAGTGACCCCTAGTAGTGACTCTCCTTTGGGTCATCAGTAACCAGTGACCCCTAGTAGTGACTCTCCTTTGGGTCATTAGTAACCAGTGACCCCTAGTAGTGACTCTCCTTTGGGTCATTAGTAACCAGTGACCTCTAGTAGTGACTCTCCTTTGGGTCATCAGTAACCAGTGACCCCTAGTAGTGACTCTCCTTTGGGTCATCAGTAACCAGTGACCCCTAGTAGTGACTCTCCTTTGGGTCATTAGTAACCAGTGACCTCTAGTAGTGACTCTCCTTTGGGTCATCAGTAACCAGTGACCCCTAGTAGTGACTCTCCTTTGGGTCATTAGTAACCAGTGACCCCTAGTAGTGACTCTCCTTTGGGTCATTAGTAACCAGTGACCTCTAGTAGTGACTCTCCTTTGGGTCATCAGTAACCAGTGACCCCTAGTAGTGACTCTCCTTTGGGTCATCAGTAACCAGTGACCCCTAGTAGTGACTCTCCTTTGGGTCATTAGTAACCAGTGACCTCTAGTAGTGACTCTCCTTTGGGTCATTAGTAACCAGTGACCTCTAGTAGTGACTCTCCTTTGGGTCATCAGTAACCAGTGACCCCTAGTAGTGACTCTCCTTTGGGTCATCAGTAACCAGTGACCCCTAGTAGTGACTCTCCTTTGGGTCATTAGTAACCAGTGACCTCTAGTAGTGACTCTCCTTTGGGTCATTAGTAACCAGTGACCTCTAGTAGTGACTCTCCTTTGGGTCATCAGTAACCAGTGACCCCTAGTAGTGACTCTCCTTTGGGTCATTAGTAACCAGTGACCTCTAGTAGTGACTCTCCTTTGGGTCATTAGTAACCAGTGACCTCTAGTAGTGACTCTCCTTTGGGTCATCAGTAACCAGTGACCCCTAGTAGTGACTCTCCTTTGGGTCATCAGTAACCAGTGACCCCTAGTAGTGACTCTCCTTTGGGTCATTAGTAACCAGTGACCTCTAGTAGTGACTCTCCTTTGGGTCATTAGTAACCAGTGACCTCTAGTAGTGACTCTCCTTTGGGTCATCAGTAACCAGTGACCCCTAGTAGTGACTCTCCTTTGGGTCATCAGTAACCAGTGACCCCTAGTAGTGACTCTCCTTTGGGTCATTAGTAACCAGTGACCCCTAGTAGTGACTCTCCTTTGGGTCATTAGTAACCAGTGACCTCTAGTAGTGACTCTCCTTTGGGTCATCAGTAACCAGTGACCCCTAGTAGTGACTCTCCTTTGGGTCATCAGTAACCAGTGACCCCTAGTAGTGACTCTCCTTTGGGTCATTAGTAACCAGTGACCTCTAGTAGTGACTCTCCTTTGGGTCATTAGTAACCAGTGACCCCTAGTAGTGACTCTCCTTTGGGTCATCAGTAACCAGTGACCCCTAGTAGTGACTCTCCTTTGGGTCATTAGTAACCAGTGACCTCTAGTAGTGACTCTCCTTTGGGTCATTAGTAACCAGTGACCTCTAGTAGTGACTCTCCTTTGGGTCATTAGTAACCAGTGACCTCTAGTAGTGACTCTCCTATGGGTCATTAGTAAACAGTGACCCCTAGTAGTGACTCTCCTTTGGGTCATCAGTAACCAGTGACCCCTAGTAGTGACTCTCATTTGGGTCAATAGTAACCAGTGACCTCTAGTAGTGACTCTCCTTTGGGTCATCAGTAACCAGTGACCCTAGGCCTAGTAGTGACTCTCCTTTGAGTCAATAGTAAACAGTGACCCCTAGTAGTGACTCTCCATAGGGTCATCAGTAACCAGTGACATCTAGTAGTGACTCTACTTTGGGTCATTAGTAACCAGTGACCTCTAGTAGTGACATTCCTTTGAGTCAATAAAAACCAGTGACCTCTAGTAGTGACATTCCTTTGGGTCAATAGTAACTAGTGACCCTTAAAGGTCAGTAGTGACAAATGACCTCTAGAAGTGACTTCTTGGGGTCACTAGTGACATGAATTACCCTTTATCACGAGTTTCCTTGAAGTCAGTATGTTCCCTGTTTAATAGCACCAGCCAGGATCCAGTCGACATTTGCCCATGAACCAGATGTACATCTTCTTGTTGTGTGGGTTGAGGGAATGGTACTCATCTGATGCACTGGCTAGACTCCATTTTAGTGCCTCCTCTTGACTCTGGGGAATAAAAGAAAGACTCACTCCTGTACTAACAAGTATCCCCACAGAAGGAACATTTACTTCTATACTAACAAGTATCCCTACAGAAGTAACACTAACTTCTATACTAACAAGTATCCCCGCAGAAGTAACACTAACTTCTGTACTAACAAGTATCCCTACAGAAGTAACACTTACTTCTATACTAACAAGTATCCCCACAGAAGGTACACTAACTTCTGTACTAACAAGTATCCCCGCAGAAGGAACACTAACTTCTATACGAACAAGTATCCCCACAGAAGGAACATTTACTTCTATACTAACAAGTATCCCCACAGAAGTACACTAACTTCTATACTAACAAGTATCCCCACAGAAGTACACTAACTTCTATACTAACAAGTATCCCAACAGAAGTAACACTAACTTCTGTACTAACAAGTATCCCCACAGGAAGTAACACTAACTTCTGTACTAACAAGTATCCCTACAGGAGGAACACTTAATTCATTACTAACAAGTTTCCCTACAGAAGTAACACTAACTTCTATACTAACAAGTACCCTCACAGAAGTAACACTAACTTCTATACTAACAATTATTCCTACAAAAGTAACACTAACTTCTATACTAACAAGTATTCCTACAAAAGTAACACTAACTTCTATACTAACAAGTATTCCTACAAAAGTAACACTAACTTCTATACTAACAAGTATTCCTACAAAAGTAACACTAACTTCTATACTAACAAGTATCCCCACAGAAGTACACTAACTTCTATACTAACAAGTATCCCCACAGAAGGTACACTAACTTCTGTACTAACAAGTATCCCTACAGGAGGAACACTTAATTCATTACTAACAAGTTTCCCTACAGAAGTAACACTAACTTCTATACTAACAATTATTCCTACAAAAGTAACACTAACTTCTATACTAACAAGTATTCCTACAAAAGTAACACTAACTTCTATACTAACAAGTATTCCTACAAAAGTAACAGTATCCCTACAGAAGTAACACTAACTTCTATACTAACAATTATTCCTACAAAAGTAACACTAACTTCTATACTAACAAGTATTCCTACAAAAGTAACACTAACTTCTATACTAACAAGTACCCTCACAGAAGTAACACTAACTTCTATACTAACAATTATTCCTACAAAAGTAACACTAACTTCTATACTAACAAGTATTCCTACAAAAGTAACACTAACTTCTATACTAACAAGTATTCCTACAAAAGTAACAGTATCCCTACAGAAGTAACACTAACTTCTATACTAACAAGTATTCCTACAAAAGTAACAGTATCCCTACAGAAGTAACACTAACTTCTATACTAACAAGTATCCTTACAGAAGTAACACTAACTTCTGAACTAACAAGTATCCCCACAGAAGGAACACTAACTTCTGTACTAACAAGTATCCCTGCAGGAGTAACACTTAATTCTATACTAACAAGTATCCCTACAGGAGTAACACTTAATTCATTACTAACAAGTTTCCCTACAGAAGTAACACTAACTTCTATACTAACAAGTATCCCCACAGAAGTAACATTTACTTCTATACTAAAAAGTATCCCCACAGAAGGAACACTAACTTCTGTACTAACAAGTATCCCCGCAGAAGGAACACTAACTTCTATACGAACAAGTATCCCCACAGAAGAAACATTTACTTCTATACTAACAAGTATCCCCACAGAAGTAACATTTACTTCTATACTAACATGGATCCCTACAGAAGTAACTCTAACTTCTGTACTAACAAGTATCCCTACAGAAGTAACACTAACTTCTGTACTAACAAGTATCCCTACAGAAGTAACACTAACTTCTATACTAACAAGTATCCCCACAGAAGTAACACTAACTTCTATACTAACAAGTATTCCTACAAAAGTAACACTAACTTCTATACTAACAAGTATCCCTACAGAAGGAACACTAACTTCTATACTAACAAGTATCCCCACAGAAGTAACACTAACTTCTATACTAACAAGTATCCTCACAGAAGTAACACTAACTTCTATACTAACAATTATTCCTACAAAAGTAACACTAACTTCTATACTAACAAGTATCCCTACAGAAGGAACACTAACTTCTATACTAACAAGTATCCCCACAGAAGTAACACTAACTTCTATACTAACAAGTATCCTCACAGAAGTAACACTAACTTCTATACTAACAATTATTCCTACAAAAGTAACACTAACTTCTATACTAACAAGTATCCCTACAGAAGGAACACTAACTTCTGTACTAACAAGTATCCCCACAGAAGTAACACTAACTTCTATACTAACAAGTATTCCTACTAAAGTAACACTAACTTCTATACTAACAAGTTTCCCCACAGAAGTAACACTAACTTCTGTACTAACAAGTATCCCCACAGAAGGAACACTAACTTCTATACTAACAAGTATTCCTACAGAAGGAACACTAAATTCTATACTAACAAGTATCCCTACAGAAGGAACACTTACTTCTATTCTAACAAGTATCCCCACAGAAGTAACACTTAATTCTATATTAACAAGTATCCACACAGAAGTAACACTAACTTCTATACTAACAATTATTCGTACAAAAGTAACACTAACTTCTATACTAACAAGTATTCCTACAGAAGGAACACTAACTTCTATACTAACAAGTATCCCTACAGAAGGAACACTTACTTCTATACTAACAAGTATCCCCACAGAAGTAACACTAACTTCTATACTAACAAGTATTCCTACAGAAGTAACACTAACTTCTATACTAACAAGTATTCCTACAGAAGGAACACTAACTTCTATACTAACAAGTATCCCCACAGAAGTAACACTAACTTCTGTACTAACAAGTATCCCCACAGAAGTAACACTAACTTCTGTTCTAACAAGTATCCCCACAGAAGTAACACTAACTTCTGTACTAACAAGTATCCCTACAGGAGTAACACTTAATTCTATATTAACAGAGTATCCTCACAGAACTGTGCTGTCTATAGTCTGTCATACTTCATTTGATATCTGAGATTGCCAATGTACTACAACACGATGTTGTTTTAATGCAGCATTTTGTTTACAATGATGTCAATCTCAGAAGCTCAATTGATCAGATGAGACTCTAGATTATATATTTCTAAACAGTAATCAATTAAAATGATTATCTTTTCTTTATAGAGTGGAAAACAGCGATATGATAACATCTATTAAACAATCAGTTGTAGAATTGCATCACAAACAAATTTAAAAACTATTCAAACACAATTTATAAAAAGGTATCACAGACAAACAAAAGTGGCATCATCACACAAAGTACAAACTGTATAAAACTATAGTGAGTGTCCTACATTAAGTGGAGTGTCCTACATTAAGTGGAGTGTTCTACAGTAAGTGGAGTGTCCTACAGTAAGTAAAGTGTCCTACAGTAAGTGGAGTGTCCTACAGTAAGTGGAGTGTCCTATAGTAAGTGGAGTGTCCTACAGTAAGTGGAGTGTCCTATAGTAAGTGGAGTGTCCTACAGTAAGTGGAGTGTCCTTCAGTAAGTGGAGTGTCCTAAAGTAAGTGGAGTGTCCTACAGTAAGTGGAGTGTCCTATAGTAAGTGGAGTGTCCTACAGTAAGTGGAGTGTACTACAGTAAGAAGAGTGTCCTACATTAAGTGGGGCGTCCTACAGTAAGTGGAGTGTCCTACAGTGAGTAGAGTGTCTTACAGTAAGTGGAGTGTCCTACAGTAAGTGGAGTGTCCTATAGTAAGTGGAGTGTCCTACAGTAAGTGGAGTGTCCTACAGTAAGAAGAGTGTCCTACATTAAGTGGGGTGTCCTACAGTAAGTGGAGTGTCCTACAGTAAGTGGAGGTATCAAATTGTAGTAGGGTTTTACTTGATGGTCTTACCACAGGCTTGGGGAAGATCCTTCGACAGCTTCCCCTGCTTGCATGCTCCATGAAGGCATGTTTAAGTGAGGATTTCATATCCCTACTAAGGCACTGATGGCAGATAGAACACTTCTGAAACATAAAAAATACCAACAAAAGCTCAACTATGGGTCAGCAGATCTTGGAAATCAGTCTCACAGAAAAAACAAGAGGCTCAGAGGACATGTATAACTCATAAGAATATTTCAGCAATCGTGTCAAAATATTCTCATTAAAAATAATATTGCAAATAAGTCTTATTGGATCGGGCCAGAGCCCAGAGGTAATCCTGGCAGCATGATAATGCTCAGCAAATATGTTGTATATACATTTAATATGTTAATGGATCAGGAGAGTTTTTTACCTTCTGACCAAATGGCCAAATTGCCTTCCTATGAAAAAGTAAATGGGAGAGCCAACAAGATTAGCTTATTCTCCCCTCCCACGAAAAGTCACATGCATGATTTGCCATCTACCCATCATGGAATTGTGTTCGAGAAAGGCAGGAAACTTGAGAAAGGCTGGAAACTTGTGCACAAATCTGTACAATCTGTTTTGAAATAAATCTATGTGGACATGCTACACATTCTCTGTATATAAAATACAGATTTTGCACAATCATCTAAAACACAAGTTACACTAAAGACCAGTGGAGTATATCTGCTAGGGCTAACCATACACCAAGTTTGAAATGATTAAGAGGATTAAATTCCAAGTTATTATTCAGAGAAGCAAAATTCTACATTAGGGCCTTTGCCATCTGACTACCTGTCCCTAAAATTAATAGGTTTATTTGCAATCACTAGGGAACCCCAGACATCAAGTCTGCACTTAAAACCATTATCCAGATGAATGAAAACCCCAACATTTAGCAATGGTAACAAATGCTGCAGTATGAAATAAACTCCCATAGGTCCTTCAGACCAGGTGAGTTAACTGGACATGTGTGTACTGACCTCAGACTGACAGTCTGTCATACATTTTCTCTCTGAGCACCACATTGGGAACACAGTTACATCTTTGTCGGACGCCTGCATGTCCTTCCCATCCATGTCACTGTTAAATACCAAAACACACAAATACTGTAAACAATAAGGCTTCAAAAATATACACTGTCTACTTCTACTGATTATCAACAAAATACATGGCTTCCCATGCTGTCAAAAGATATTTAATTGTCAAAAGCAAGTTACATAAACACATTGAATGCCCTTTACCTGTAACTTGTATGTCTATATTTCCCATTCAATTATCATCAGCCATAACCTGTCAGTATTTACATGTCACTTATATGTAAGCGTTAAACTGTCAGTGTTTTCTTGTCAGTATTTACATTTGTATGTCTGTGTTTACCTGTCTCTTGTATGTCTGTGTTTACCTGTCACTTGTATGTTTGTGATTAACTGTCACTTGTCTGTGTTTACCTGTTACTTGTATGTCTGTGTTTACCTGTCACTTGTCTGTGTTTACCTGTCTCTTGTATGTCTGTGTTTACCTGTCACTTGTCAGTGTTTACCTGTCACTTGTCTGTGTTTACCTGTCACTTGTATGTCAGTGTTTACCTGTCACTTGTCTGTGTTTACCTGTCACTTGTATGTCAGTGTTTAACTGTCACTTGTCTGTGTTTACCTGTCACTTGTATGTCAGTGTTTACCTGTCACTTGTCAGTGTTTACTTGTCATTTGTCTGCGTTTACCTGTCTCTTGTATGTCTGTGTTTACCTGTCACTTGTATGTCTGTGTTTCCCTGCCACTTGTCTGTGTTTACCTGTCTCTTGTCTGTGTTTACCTGTCGCTTGTATGTCAGTGTTTACGTGTCACTTGTATGTCAGTGCTTACCTGTCACTTGTATGTTTGTGTTTACCTGTCACTTGGATGTCAGAGTTTACCTGTCACTTGTCAGTTTTTACTTGTCATTTGTCTGCGTTTACCTGTCTCTTGTATGTCAGTGTTTAACTGTCACTTGTATGTCTGTGGTTACCTGTCACTTGTATGTGAGTGTTTACCTGTCACTTGCATGTCAGTGTTTACCTGTCGCTTGTATGTCAGTGTTTAACTGTCACTTGTCTGTGTTTCCCTGTCACTTGTCAGTGTTTACCTGTCACTTGTCTGTGTTTACCTGTAACTTGTCTGTTTTTACCAATTTCCAATTCCTTGTTTCGTTCCATTTGGGTTTTAATTCCTGGGGAATTTTCCCCCCAATACTTTTCTGTAATATTATTTACTTATCTGTTGATTATTTTACTGCTTTTGCTTTAATTTTTCTGTCTATTCTTGATACTACTAGGCTCTTGAATCGCTCAGGAGTTTCGTCTTGCCAGCTCTTAAATCGCTTAAGTCTGGTGGTCAGTTTGCCTCTCTTGAATCGCTCAAGGCAAAAGCTCTCTGCTTTTAAATCGCTTAAAAGTTTTCTTTACTACTTATATATATGAGTATCTTATATGCAGCTCTTGAATCGCTCAAGGGTTTGCTCTAGATATCTACATGTATACTGTCTTGAATCGCTCAAGAACGTTTCACTAGATATTTACATTTGGCCTGTCTTGAATCGCTCAAGAGTTGTCTGGCCCACTTAAAATATATTGCTGAGAATATATTTTTTGTTTTTCCTTGTGGCCTCTTTCTTTGCTTAGGAGGCTACCTCGTCAGTACACGTTTGTTTTTGTAGTATTGTATATAGTTAGCTTATAGTGTTGAGTGAGTAGCCCCTGATACGCCAAAGTATAAGTTTGTATTTTCTTTTTATCTTGCTATCTGCCTCATTTAAATATCTCGAATTGTAATAAACAGGTAAACTGTTGTTTCATCGTTTTTGTTGTGTATAAACTGTCACTTGTATGTCTGTGTTTACCTGTCACTTGTATGTCTGTGTTTACCTGTCAATTGTCTTTGTTTATCTGTGACTTGTCTGTGCTTACCTATCACTTGTCAGTGTTTACCTGTCACTTGTCAGTGTTTACCTGTCACTTGTTTGTGTTTACCTGTCACATGTCAGTGTTTACTTGTGAGTATTTAGCTTTAACTTGTCTGTCAGTTTTTATTAGTTTTATTTTTTATTTTGTTATTTGTATGTCAGTGTTTACCTGTCCTCAAATGCATTAGAGGTGGTCTTGGCCACGCCCACCAGAGACAGCACATTGTAAACCACATGCTCGTAAATTCTCTTATTCCTCCAGAAATGTCCCGATGACAGGTTGGGAGACATGTTTACCTTAAACAAGAACAACACTTAAGCTTGTTGGTTTTTACTGTAGTAAAGGGCAGCTGTCAAACATGGTCCCACAATTATAAATATCGGTGAGTTTATTACCCATTACTACAGAATATTGTTTAAGTAAGAAATTATAAAGATTTAAAAACAATCAAATGTATTTTGGTTAGTTGTAAGAAAAATGTTTAAACTTTAGAAAGAATAAAATACTCAATGAACTTATTAGAAAATTAACAGATATCAAAGAGATTTGAAGAAAACACCTTCAAAATGTATCGAGTAGAATGTAATGTCACATTTGTGTGTGGCTAACTCACCTCCATAAGATAAACGTTTAACTGGTCATCCAACACAAAGTCAAATCGCACCATCTCAAAGAAGTTTCTAAAACAAAAGTTCCAGATTTTAGAAAAGTAAACAAGCATTGTTCCAAAATGGTCTTACTTTTTCCATTTCATGAACTTCTCACAAAAATATAATATATCATATATTTGGAATTACCATCAGGAATATATCGTTGCTGAAGCCAATATATACACAAAGATGTTTAGCTGATCACGTCAATATATGAAGGTTTATGATTTATTACAATCAAATACAGGATTATTGTGGGAGGAAACCAGGGTACCCGGAGAAAACCCACGTGGTCGGGCAGGTTACCCCATACCTTTTCACGTCCGATTGGGAAATCGAACCCCGGACGCCTTTGTGAAAGGCAAGTGCGCTATCCAATGCACCACCCAACCACCCACATCAATATATGAAAGTTAATGATTTATCACAATCAAATACAGAAACATGTTAACTGACATTCATGTACTATGATACAGATGTACCCATCTACTGTTCCAGACCTTTCTCTTTGTGTAGGTACACCTGTCTGTCACAGAGAGAGATACCTACCTATTGTTTCTGAAGCGTGAGGAAGATGAGATAAGACTATTTGTGTAGGTACATGTACACCTGTCTGTCACAGAGACAGATACCTAGCTGTTGTTCCTGAAGCGTGAGGAAGATGAGATAAGACTATTTGTGTAGGTACATGTACACCTGTCTGTCACAGAGACAGATACCTACCTATTGTTTCTGAAGCGTGAGGAAGACGAGATGAGACTCTTTGTGTAGGTACACCTGTCTGTCACAGAGACAGATACCTACCTGTTGTTCCTAAAGCGTGAGGAAGATGAGATAAGACTCTTCTCTTTGTGTAGGTAAACCTGTCTGATGGAGTCCTTTATGTCTTCCCAAAGCTTCAGGTGGTTACGACCTGCGGGTGAGAAATGTGTATGCTATAGTCATCATTTCAAAACAACTTTGAGGTAAAATTTGATAAAATATTTAAACGAAATGTTTATCCTATTATTTTACAATAAAGTATATGCACAAGAAAATATTAATTAAAATTTGAAACCCTATTCATCCCATTAAGTGCAATTTAAGAAGATTGAGATCATAAAGGCAATAAGACAGTATATACAAACACCAGTGTTCATGTATGACTTGTATTACCTGTCTGTTCTAGGTAGGTATCCAAGGTCTCCTTACAGGTATACATGCCATCATCAAAGATAGCCTTCAGTGACGGCATCTGTACAAACAGAAATGATGAAAGTTGAAAACTATGAACAGATCCCAAATTTATTTTCCCTTTATTTGATAAAGAATAACATTTCAATTAAGGCTGCTGACGAGGCTGATATAGATACAAACTTTGGCCTGTTGCTACAGTTTAAGTGACAGATAAATTACCTACCTCCAAGACAAATGTGTAGCTGTCATAATTTGTTAGCTACCTCCAAGACAGATGTGTAGCTGTCATAATTTGTTAGCTACCTCCCAGACAGGTGTTTAGTTGTCATAATTTGTGACCTACCTCCCAGACAGGTGTGTAGTTGTCATAATTTATTACCTACCTCCCAGACAGGTGTGTAGCTGTCATAATTTGTTACCTCCCTCCCAGACAGGTGTGTAGTTGTCATCATTTGTTACCTTCCTCCCAGACAGGTGTGTAGGTGCCCTCAGTTGTTACCTACCTCCCAGACAGCTGTGTAGTTGTCATCATTTGTTACCTACCGCCCAGACAGGTGTGTAGCTGTCATAATTTATTACCTACCTCCCAGCCAGGTGTGTAGCTGTCATAATTTGTTACCTCCCTCCCAGACAGGTGGGTAGTTGTCATCATTTGTTACCTACCTCCCAGCCAGGTGTGTAGCTGTCATAATTTGTTACCTCCCTCCCAGACAGGTGTGTAGTTGTCATAATTTATTACCTACCCCCCAGACAGGTGTGTAGCTGTCATAATTTATTACCTACCTCCCAGCCAGGTGTGTAGCTGTCATAATTTGTTACCTACCCCCAAGACAGATGTGTAGCTGTCATAATTTGTTAGCTTCCTCCCAGACAGGTGTTTAGTTGTCATAATTTGTGACCTGCCTCCCAGACAGGTGTGTAGTTGTCATAATTTGTTCCCTACCTCCCAGACAGGTGTGTAGTTGTCATCGTTTGTTACCTTCCTCCCAGACAGGTGTGTAGTTGTCATCATTTGTTACCTTCCTCCCAGACAGGTGTGTAGGTGCCCTCAGTTGTTACCTACCTCCCAGACAGCTGTGTAGTTGTCATCATTTGTTACCTACCTCCCAGCCAGGTGTGTAGCTGTCATAATGTGTTACCTACCTCACAGACAGGTGTGTAGTTGTCATAATTTATTACCTACCTCCCAGACAGGTGTGTAGTTGGCATAATTTGTTACCTACCTCCCAGACAGGTGTGTAGCTGTCATAATGTGTTACCTACCTCCCAGACAGGAGTGTAGTTGCCATCATTTGTTACCTACCTACCAGACAGGTGTGTAGTTGTCATCATTTGTTAGCTACCTCCAAGACAGGTGTGTAGCTGTCATAATTTGTTACCTCCCTCCCAGACAGGTGGGTAGTTGTCATCATTTGTTACCTACCTCCCAGACAGGTGTGTAGTTGTCAGCATTTGTTACCTATCTCCCAGACAGGTGTGTAGTTGTCATCATTTGTTAGCTACCTCCCAGACAGGTGTGTAGCTGTCATAATTTGTTACCTAGCTCCCAGACAGGTGTGTAGCTGTCAGCATTTGTTACCTATCTCCCAGACAGGTTTGTAGTTGTCATCGTTTGTTACCTACCTCCCAGACAGGTGTTTAGTTGTCATTGTTTGTTACCTACCTCCCAGACAGGTGTGTAGCTGTCATAATTTGTTACCTTCCTCCCAGACAGGTGTGTAGTTGTCATTATTTGTTACCTATCTCCCAGATAGGTGTGTAGTTGTCATAATTTGTTACCTACCTCCCAGACAGGTGTGTAGTTGTCATCATGTGTTACCTACCTACCAGATAGGTGTGTAGTTGTCATCATTTGTTACCTACCTCCCAGACAGGTGTGTAGTTGTCATCAACCACATACTTCTTTGTGTTGGTCGAATCAAATGGATGGTAATCTGCAGCACAAAATCTGAAAAGCAATGTATAGGATCTATGACTAACGGCTGACAAGTCCTTGTGTTGTATAACTGGAGTACTTCAATGAGGTGTAAGGGTAAATACCAAAGACTGTGTACATCTCAAAAGACTGTGTACATCTCAAAAGGGATACAACTAAACCAATATTGTTTTTCATAAGAGAAATATTAAATTTCAATAGATGTTCTGGTGAACATTTTTTCTCTCATGAAAATAAAACAATCAGAAGGGAGGATTTGCTGTGAGTAAAGATCTTGACATCAAATACAAAGATGTAATTGTCATTGTGATGACATACTCAAATGGCAACAAAATAGTCATCAACAAATAATTAATAGCCGCAAATGGTTCCCTTTTAATGTGTTTGTGAGATTGCTGAAACGGTATATATATATACTAGTGACCTCATTTACTATCGTACATAGTTCATTTCTACGATAGCAACTAGGATGAATCAGTTTACTGATTTCCTTTAAAAGTTTGATGTTTCCCTTCTTACTACCATCCCATTGTAGATCCCAATGAAGTGAGAAAGAAAACAATTTAATTTTTCACTTCATCCTTTCATATTTTATATTTGTTAACCTTTTAAAGTTTTCACAGGGAAGAAACTATGTGGGAAAACAGCACAAAAGTGTCGTAACACTTTCCCCCATTTGACACATTTTAGTGTAAATATTACAATTTAAGCTGCACGATGTAATGGTAAAATTTCATTTTAGATAAGATCAAGAAAATGAAGGAATTTGTGTTGGTTTAAAAAAAAACAGGAGTCCTCCTTTCTTACTTTGCAATTTTTTTTTGATTTTTTGAGGGTAAGTTCAAATTCACGGAATGTTTTGAATACAAATTCTTGTAGTGCTTGATCTGTAATGTCAGCTGATTAGTAACGTCCATGCAGCGCTGTATCTCCCTATTACACCAGGATTATGCCACTGCTGTGGAAATGCTTCTGAATACCTACCTGAGCAGGACTTCCCCTTCCACAATGTACACTCGGAGAGGATCTATGGAGGTCAGGATCGTGTACACACCAATGTCAAACTTTCTACAGAGGAAAAACAAACAATTCATAAAGTACATTTCTCTTAATATCATGACTGGGTTATTTTGTCCTACGTGTTATTAAGTGAAGCAACATAACTATGCATTTTTGTGAGAAATTAACAAGATTTCTTATAACGTTATGTTAGCTACCAAAGCTAGTTCAGTGAAGATACAACAAGCCTGTACAATTTAACGTGTCAATTTAACGTGTACAATTTAACGTGTACAATTTAACAAGTCAATTTAACGTGTGATAAAAATGGACAACTGGAAATGTGACGTGACATTAAGAGTAAATGTAATGTGTGATAACAATGGACAACTGGAAATGTGACGTGACATTAAGAGTAAATGTAACGTGTGATAACAATGGACAACTGGAAATGTGACGTGACATTGAGAGCAAATACAGTGTTGTAGGAAAACAGGATTTTAATTGAAAATAAGTGGAATTCACTGTATAACTTGTACCCATTAAATCTGTCAGTACATGGTCCAACTAAATGGTAACCATAAGTTTTAAAATGGGATTTGTCAGCTGAGAAAGATATACTCTGAATGACTTTTTCATGTTTATTCTAGTAAGATTCAAACAATCTAACCATCACTGTCTGACAATTGCAGGCTCCTATAATAGCGATTCTGTTGACCATTTAAATGTATCTATGAAAATAAATCTCTTACCTTTTATCTATAAGGAAAGGTTTATCTACATATTCTTGAACAAATGAGCCATCACTTGCTAAATCTAAATCTGCAATATAAAAGACAGTGAAATACAATAATACAAACACAAACATAACTGGCTGATATCTATTATAAATTCTCAGTCTCTTACTGGCCTTTAGCTTTCTGTGTGCTTTATTGACTGAGATAACACATTTGAAATATTCCAGTAGGCATTTAATTTTAATTGAAGAAAACCTTTGTTTAATAAAAATATTTATTAACAGCTGATTTTAATTTCGTTATTTATTGACATTTCTTTTTATAAATGATTACTGTAAACGTGGAATATTACGCGCAGGGGAAATTTACGCTTATTATGCGGAGTTGGATCGTCCGCGTAAATTTCCCCCACGCGTATGGTTTCGTCGATAGTGTAAGGAACGACAACTCTGATTGATATTGGTACATGTGTGTGATGTCCTCCTGTCATATTGCTTTGTTAACGTATTACTAATTAACGTACATTGTCTTGTAATGGTATCAAATAAAAACAATAACAACTGAAATAAACTACTTGATAAATTGAAGTTTTTAATGGACAACAAATTTGAAAATCTATATAAAGGCACAGAGAAAGTCATGAATAAACCCGGGTGCATCGAGGTCCGGTACACATCACTCGCACACGTGTCTACGGGACACAAACAGCTAGTAATCGTGTGCAACGATCCCTACACAGGTAAATACCCCTGTCATCATGGTAGCGACATTAACTGCGCTTGATGAGTTACGATAACCTACGAATAGCATATTGTTATTTGGAAAACATGTTTGTTTTGACTAAATAGCACTCACCTGTTTGATCCCAGTTGATTACAAGATCAGCTGGTATAAGACACACGTTCACATACACACAACTACAGTTCACCTTTATTTTCATCTGTCCAATGACCAGTCGGAACACATACGTAACATGTACTCAGTAGCTACTAGTATTTTTACACGTACACATTTTGTAAAGTAAGGGAGATAACTATGCAGAGTAAACGTTGGTCTACCGCGACCGCGTAAATTACCCCAGTGCATATAGTTTTGACCTTCAAATCGCGTAATTTTCACCCAGCGTAAATAACCACGTTTACAGTATATTTTTTTACAGCAGTTGCTTTATCGATAGGCTTCACTGTGGAACCTGAGTTATTACAGGTTACATGACAAAATTAAACATCAGATTAGGCAAATAAACCCCAAAACCACACACTGTCCAAAGTACTCCCAACATCACACATTATTCCAAATAATCCTCATATCACACAATACCAGGTATTCAAAGCTCAGCAGAGAATGGAGATTTTATACCTTTGATTTTCTTGATCTTGATCCCGCGGTGACTGTTACGTTTCTGTACCCACAGCTTGTCTGGGTGTTCCTTTGTCTGAAAGAGTCGGTCACAACAAGTTAAAAGACAATCTTAACGACACCCATCATATGTACTTCTTATGTGTTCTGGCACATAAGTCGGCTATTGTAATTACTGTTGTGTATAAATAGAATGGTATCACAGGCCTATCAGCAGTCGGGTCAATGACGTGCTCCTAAACCCATATCAATATGTTTATCTTATATTTCAGAAAGTGCCTCTTTCTCTGATGGTATTTTGAAGGCTTTGGAGATGTATGGGATATTGTAAACAAACAAGTACTATCATATCTGGGAAATGCCTCTTTCTCTGATGGTATTTTGAATGTTTTAAGGTGTATGAGATATTGTAAACCCACAAATATTTACATATTTGAGAAATGCCTCTTTCTCTGATGGTATTTTGAAGGTTAGTGAGATATATGGGATATTGTAAACACACATGTACTTACATATTTGAGAAATGCCTCTTTCTCTGATGGTATTTTGAAGATTAGTGAGATATATGGGATATTGTAAACACACATGTACTTACATATTTGAGAAATGACTCTTTCTCTGATGGTATTTTGAAGGCTTTTGGAATGTATGGGATGGAGGAGGTGGCCAGACTGACTTTGTTGGTGATGAATCCTGTGCCTGGGAAATGGTTCACCTGTAACACAACATTACACCTGTAACACAACATTAAATCTGAAACACAACATCACACAAACACCTGTAACAAAACATTACACCTGTAACACAACATTACACCTGTAACACAACATTACACCTATAACACAGCATTACACCTGTGACACAACATTTCACCTGTAACACAACATTACACCTGTAACACAACATTACACCTGTAACACAACATTACACCTGTAACACAACATTACATCTGTAACACAACATCGCACCTGTAACACAACATCACACAAACACCTGTAACACAGCATTACACCTGTAACACAACATTACACCTATAACACAACATTACACCTGTAACACAACATAACACCTGAAACACAACATTACACCTGTAACACAACATTACACCTGTAACACAACATTACACCTGTAACACAGCATTACACCTGTAACTAAACATCACACCTGTAACACAACATTACACCTGTAACACAACATTACATCTGTAACACAACATCGCACCTGTAACACAACATCACACAAACACCTGTAACACAGCATTACACCTGTAACACAACATTACACCTATAACACAACATTACACCTGTAACACAACATAACACCTGAAACACAACATTACACCTGTAACACAACATTACACCTGTAACACAACATCACACCTGTAACACAACATCGCACCTGTAACACAACATTGCACCTGTAACGAAACATCACACTTGTAACACAACATCACACCTGTAACTAAACATCACACCTGTAACACAACATCACACCTGTAACACAACATCACACATGTAACACAACATCGCACCTGTGACAAAACATCACACCTGTAACACAACATCGCACCTGTAACACAACATCGCACATGTGACAAAACATCGAACCTGTGACACAACATCACACCTGTGACACAACATCGCACCTGTAACACAACTTCACACCTGTAACACAACATCGCACCTGTGACAAAACATCACACCTGTAACACAAAATCGCACCTGTGACACAACATCACACCTGTAACACAATATCGCACCTGTGACACAACATGTAACACATCATCGCACCTGTGACACAACATCGCACCTGTAACACAACATCGCACCTGTAACACAGTAGCGCACCCTGTAACACAACATCACACCTTTAACACAACATCACACCTGTGACACAACATCACACCTGTAACACAACATCGCACCTGTGACAAAACATCGCATCTGTAACACAACATCGCACCTATAACACAACATCGCACCTGTAACACAACATCGCACCTGTAACACAGTAGCGCTCCCTGTAACACAACATCAAACCTGTAAAACAACATCGCACCTGAAACACAACATTACACCAGTAACACAAAATTACATCTGTCACACAACACTACACCTGTAACACAAAATCGCACCTGTGACAAAACATCGCAACTGTAACACAACATCTCACCTTTAACACAACATCACCCCTTTAACACAACATTACACCTGTACCACAACATCACCCCTGTGACACAACATGTAACACATCATCGCACCTGTAACCCAACATCGCCCCTGCAGCACAGTATCTCAGCCTGTAAAACAAAATCACACCTGTAACAAAACATCGCATCTGTAAAACAACATCACGCCTGTAACACAACATCAAACCTGTAAAACAACATCACGCCTGTAACACAACATAACACCTGAAACACAACATCACACATGTAACACAACATCGTACCCGTAACACAGTAGCGCACCCTGAAACACAACATTACACCCATAACACAGCATTACTCCTGTGACACAACATCCCACCTGTAACACATCATCGCACCTGTGACAAAACATCGCAACTGTAACACAACATCCCACATGTAACACAACATCAAACCTGTAAAACAACATCGCACCTGCGACAAAACATCGCATCTGTGACACAACATCGCCCCTATAACACAACATTACACCTATCACACCGCATTACAACTGTAACACAACATCTCACCTTTAACACAACAGCGCACCTGTAACACAGAAGCGCACCCTGTAACACAACATGGCACCTGTGACAAAACATCGAACCTGTGACACAACACCGCACCTGTAACACAACATCGCACCTGTAACACAACATCGCACCTGCAGCACAGTATCGCAGCCTGTAAAACAACATCACACCTGTAACACAACATCACACCTGTAACTAAACAACACACCTGTAACACAACATCGCACCTGTAACACAACATTGCACCTGTAACGAAACCTCACACTTGTAACACAACATCACACCTGTAACTAAACATCACACCTGTAACACAACATCACACCTGTAACACAACATCACACATGTACATAGTAATTTAAATATGATACATATCAAACTATGAAATATTGCACATAACATTAGAGATTCCATAAAGGAGATATGACTTAAATGTTATTTAATATTAATTGTATGATTTAATCATAATTAACGGTTTCATTACCCTTTGATGAGGTTTAAGGTCTGCCAACTTCTTTGACAAAGTTTCAAATGGATATTCATGAGACCATAGGACGTCCCATTTGGACTCGCTGTCACCAACAGCGTACCCAATTCTGTCAAACACGGCAAACACATGCGTCAAGTAGCCGGACTCAAGCTGGTAACAGAAAGTGATAGGACTAAATTAAAGATGTTTATAACAAACAACGTATAAAGCTTGATTTCCATCTTCAGAAGTATTTTTACAGGATTCATAAGGTAAAGTGTTTACTTAATGCATCTCTATATATTATTTGTATAAGTCTCTTTACACAAGTATTTACTGGTTAATACATATGACTAGCCTCATCACCAGCACCACACATTTTATTACCTTGCCAGTATAGGTAATGACAGCAATAGAAATGAAAATAATACATTTGATAATTTCATACTAAATCAAAGAGCTAGTGCTGCTTACAGATAATGTTAAGTGTACATGTACATGCAGAGGATGATCTCCCCGTAGACTGTATGTGCTGCAGTGAATAGCACATGATTTACAGAGATATCAGCATTACATGTATTAGTATTATACCCAGGTAGTTTGTTTTAATATTAAGTTGCTAAAGGTTATTCCATATACCAATACATTGTATATAGTTAGTCATTGTTTAACTTATTACTTCAAATTTGACAGAAGTGCTCTGATACAAGTACATGTATACGATGAAGTATGGACCTTAATTACGCTATGGGTTTACTTGTAAACTGAATATGAATATGACAGTAAATATTATAAGATATATTTGTGTTTTACTAGAACTGCTCTGTAACCTTACTGTGTATGTGACATCATCATCACTACAGCAACACAGAAGCATGGTTTAGTAAATATACATAAACAACAGTGAACAGAAGTAGAATTATTTTCAACAGAAACAAAATGATTTATAATGGGAATCAGAATGATTAATAGCTGGAAATCCCATGATTTATAATGGGAAATAGAATGATTTATAACACGAAATATGATTAGATATAATAGGAAAAAGATTTATTTACAATGGAAATAGACGGAGTTATATTGGGAAATAGACTGAGTTATATTGGGAAATAGACTGAGTTATATTGGGAAATAGACTGAGTTATATTGGGAAATAGACTGATTTATATTGGGAAATAGACTGATTTATATTGGGAAATAGACTGAGTTATATTGGGAAATAGACTGAGTTATATTGGGAAATAGACTGAGTTATATTGGGAAATAGACTGATTTATATTGGGAAATAGAATGATTTATATTGGGAAATAGACTGATTTATATTGAAAACAAAATGATTCATAATGGAAATGGAAAGAGTGGTAAATGGCAAAATTTCCTGAACACCCCAAGCATTTTTTTTTTATAAATATAAATTACATGTTTTCCATCCACCCACACAACAGGTTGCTTGGATCCAAATTGTCCTGTTTTACCCTCTGAAGTAGGCTGGATGTGTATCATGTGATCTTCCTTCATTTTGTGTAGTTCGTAGATGTTAAGGAGGGTGAGAATGATTCCAAAGCCTAAAACTATACTAGCTGCTGTGATTAATTTGCCTGGCCCTCGTGATCTCCTGTGTTGAGACGGACTATACCTGGGGAGGTTCTGAAAAAACAGATACAAACGCTAAACCTATGCCTGGAACAAAAATGTCAATAACCAAATAAAATAACATCTATTAAAGTAGTTACGTACAGAACAGACTACACATGATTACATTAATTCCATGTCAACAAATTGCTAATTAAATATTCCAGATGTCTGAAGAAGGAAGATATTCTTATTAATAGCTTGTTGGTGAATATCAAAATAGCAAATAAAAGAGTCAGTTGTTGATAACAGAAAGTGATACAGATTGTTCAAACCAAACATATACATGTCTATGGCTTTGGAACAGAATGGTGTACAGATTGGAGAGGTTCTGATATGTTGACCTGTTTCATTTTAATTTTTACAAAATAAATTTAGGAAGGTCTTCACACTTATTGTAAGAAAAAATACCAGATACATAGATGATCATACACTACAAACTAAACCTTCACTGAGGCTCTATATTTATCTCTGAGGCTCTATATTTATCTCTGAGGCTCTATATTTATCTCTGAGGCTCTATATTTATCTCTGAGGCTCTATATTTATCTCTGAGGCTCTATATTTATCTCTGAGGCTCTATATTTATCTCTGAGGCTCTATATTTATCTCTGAGGCTCTATATTTATCTCTGAGGCTCTATATTTATCTCTGAGGCTCTATATTTATCTCTGAGGCTCTATATTTATCTCTGAGGCTCTATATTTATCTCTGAGGCTCTATATTTATCTCTGAGGCTCTATATTTATCTCTGAGGCTCTATATTTATCTCTGAGGCTCTATATTTATCTCTGAGGCTCTATATTTATCTCTGAGGCTCTATATTTATCTCTGAGGCTCTATATTTATGTCTGAGGCTCTATATTTATCTCTGAGGCTCTATATTTATGTCTGAGGCTCTATATTTATCTCTGAGGATCTATATTTATATCTGAGGTTCTATTTTTTTCTCTGAGGCTCTATATTTATGAATCAGTTCTTGTTCTCAAACACAGATTCTATGTTCTAGCCCAATTTCTTGCTCCAGTTATAAATCATTCAAACATATATATACTTTCATTGATTTGTAATAAGATTGACATTATAAATGTAAATGTACAAAATACCTATAATGAGCTAGATCTGTCACCATCACAAAGGAAATAAATAGTGTGCATATTCTCTGTATAACACAAACACTTGAACACATGAGTAAACAAGAGTCCCAATGGGCCCGTATCGCTCACCTGGTATTAATCTCACAATTGTAACCTTAAGAGTGGACTAAAATAAAGCTACAGGCAAAATATCAGTGTCTTGACTTAAGTCATTCAAAAGAACCTGTTAAATGATTAAAACACATTTGACCCCTGTGACCTTAAAAGTCAAACATGGACATTAAATTGAACAAACTCTATAGTCTTCATCACAGAATGCAACTTCTCAAACATCACCCTAATTGCCCTATATACCTTTTGTGTATTGAGGTGACTTTTAAAGATTTATGCACTTTGGACCAGATGTGACCTTGAAAGTATGTCAAGGTCATTCACATGAACAACGGATCACCCTGGAACCTTAAGTTATTCAGTAGTTGATTTTAAATGTTTTTAAGACAAATAACCCCTGTGACCTTGAATATGCATGGGCTAAGGTCATTAATTTAAACAAACTTGGTAGTGTTTCATCGCAGCATACTACTGGCCTAATGTCACCCTGGGCATTTTGGTTATTCAGAAGAAGTCGTTTAAAGATTTTAACATATTTGACCCCATGTGACCTTGAATATGAGTGAAGGTCATTCATTTGAACAAACTTTGTAGCCCTTCATCCAAGCATGCTACTGGCTTAATTTCATCAGCATGGGCCTCTTGGTTATTTAGAGGAAGTTGTTTAATAGTTTAAACATATTTGATCTATGTGACCTTGAAAATGGGCAAAGGTCATTCATTTGAACAAACTTGGTAGTTCTTCATTTCAGTATGCTACTGGCCAAATATTATCAGCCTGGGTATCTTGGTTATTAAGAAGTTGTTAAAAGTTTTCAACATATATGACCCCTGTGACCTTGACCATGGGCAAAGGTAATTTCTTTTCATAAACTTTGTCAGGCTTCATCCTAGGAACCTATTAGCTAAATATCACACTTCTGGGCCTTTTGGTTAATCAGGAAAAGTCATTTAAAGGTTTTAACAAATTTGACCCCTGTAACCTTGAATATGGGTCAATGTCATTTCCTTTCTCAAACTTTGTCAGGCTTCATCCTAGGAACCAATCAGCCAAATATCACGCTTCTGGGCCTTTTGGTTAATCAGAAGAAGTCGTTTAAAGGTTTTAACAAATTTGACCCCTGTGACCTTGAATATAAGTCAAGGTCATTTCTTTTTGCAAACTTTGTTTGGCTTAATCCCAGCAATCAACCAGCCAAATATCATGACATTTGGCTTGTTGGTTATTGAGAAGAAGTCGTTAAAATAGAAAAGTTGATGCCGGACAGATGCCGGACATTAGTTAGTTTCATATGAAGCATATCCTATTTGACTAGTGAAGCTAGTAACGACATATAAATACCTGTATATATATTATCATTTTAAATGCATGTATATATACACAAATGACCTATGTTTTTGACATAAACATACTGTATACTTACATATGTTGGATTCTTCTGATAATAATCCATTGTTTTATTAATTTCTGTCCTTTTGATCAAATTTTTCTTCAATTTGGATAAATCATGAAAAAGCTGGTAATAACAGATGTGAAATGAAATCTGAAAAGAGAAATAACAATGAAATACCTTTAGTCACCAAATACTGTAGCTGCGATCAGTTGCAATGAAGCAAAAAAATACATGTATTTCAATTTAATCGAAATCAGAAACTTGGGATGTCAGTTGCTAACAAGGTTACTGTGATGCAGTAAAACGTACCTGTATTTACACTATAAGCAACCGGATATTCTACCCAGTATTAATTACAGTCAGATAAAAATGTTTATTAATCTTTCCTTAAGAGAAGCTTTAATGGTATCATAAAGTATGAAGTAAAATTGAAGTTAATGAAATAAAAGATATTAAACGGAAAACATCCAAAATGCTAAATTTCAGTCCACAACTCAAAAAAAGAAAAAGAAAAAAACCCAGGTAACACAGAAAAAGAACTGTTTGATGAAAGTCATAGTAGGTTTCTTGCCTAAGTTTTCATGGCATTTAACCCTTTTATATCAAGTTTCATGTTAATTTGTTAGTACATGTTCATGTAACTACTCCAGATACCTGGTACGTGTTTGAATCCATAAAGGACCACCCCCAAAAATAAATGGTCAGGAAAAAGTGGTTATCAAATTAAACTAATGTTTGAGATAACAAATTTACATAGCAATTAACCTTCTTATAAAATTTAATAATTATACTCAAGATATTAAGTGGACCCTTGACCAAATCATTCAAATGGCAATACATGTAACTCACAATAAATACAAATAATGGTTATAAGAGATTTCATAATAGAATCTGTTATTATTTTTGTCTGTAGTATAATATCGTTTTATTTGATGGTAAATTATTTTTCATTCTTTTTCCATTTAAAATTGATGAAAATCGAAAGTTCACAGCAAAACATGATTTATGTTTCATTGCAAACAGTGTTTACCTATATAAGAATGTCTCCTTCATGCTGCCGCAGTGGAGAAATAATTGTCTAGGAGCTAGGTGTGGCCTCATTTAATTTACATAGGGTACTGTCGTACGTTTGACAGATTACAAAAAAAGGCTTGGTCAGAAATGAAAGTTGTCACCAGTTTTTCAGGTATGGGTTAATTGAGATCAAGATAAGAAAGGTATTATTCAAAACGGTACATTAATGTGTGTTTCTTAATGAGTTAATAATTCATAGGTTTGTCTTACAAACTCTTGGTAATATTTTGTAAATTTACAGACAATGGCCAAACTTCTAAAATATCCTCATGTAGTGTCAAGCAGGTCATGTAGTAAAGAGATACAGCTTGATACAAAGGTGGCGTGGAAATATATTACGAGCGAAACCTATGACTTATTAGATAATATTAATAATTATATATGCTAGAATTCAAAAGGGTGACATAATATAAGCATTGTCAGTTTTCCTTTCATTTTGCAAATACAGTACAAAACATCGTCAGCTTAGTTTTACAAAAGTATTCAGTTCTAGACTGCGGTCATAAAAATGTGAGAAAAACACTTGTGTCAACGTGGCCAAAACGTCACAGACCGAATACCGAAACGTCTCTAATGTACCCCGATAATGAAGGGATCAGCATCAACAACTTGACAACAATCTACCGCAAGCAGTTGCTGTAACCAACATGTATAAGATGGAATTATCTATTCATTAAATGGTCTTATGAAATAATCATCATGTGTTAACTTATGCTATGGTTGTTATGAAATACCAACTAAAAGATGACAAAATGCTAATTCATCCATCCGGGAGGAGGTTCATATTTTGGAACATAAATCTGTAAACAAAAGTGGTGTTCATGTAGTTCATGCAACATTTGCTTGTGTTCATGAAGCATAAACAATAAGCAATAGAAGAATACAGAGGTATACACATTACCGTCTTCGTTCATCATGCTGTAATTGTGTTTCTCTTATCGCCACTGGTTTATCATAATTCCGACAGTAAAAACTGCATATCAAGTTTTTTAAACGATCGGCAATTGCAATCAAACCGGATATAAATATTTTCACACCTTCATACTGAAGAGTTCGACTGAAAAGAGCAGACGCTAAAAATCCAAAAATATTCAAGAACCGAAATGAGGGTTGTGCCACGTCGTTTGGAAATATCTTCTTTTGCTGACAGTCGACATACTTTTTTGGTTCTATGTTACATTGCTAATGAGTGAAAATAAACACACAGCCCACCAAAATGTGTAAGAACTTGCAATTGGTATTGTTAATCCAACTTCCAACTTTCACAGGATTGCAAAGTAACGTAACACGCTACTGTACCGTCTCTTCCTCAGTATACGGTAATATTACTATTGTTGAATATTTTCTTGTCTTATTTACTTGTAGACATTTACTTTATTTCTAATTATAGCATGCTTGTTTCGCTGATAAAATGCAAAACGGGCTGCGATGAAACAGTAATGTTATTTAAGTTTCGCGCCCCTGTGGTAAACATGTGTTTTGTTTGATGACGTCGCTATGGTATCGACCCCGGGTCGATGACAGGTTTATAACTTTATCGGAAGGTAATAGAGGTTGTTTGAGCCTCTACTGATGTAGAGTACATATAAGCTGATAGGAACAACACTGCTTTATTGGATTACGTGTGGGGTAGCTGCTGATGCATATCAGTTGGTTATTGACATAATCATCGAGTTTCGGTTTTTTACTGGATGCACTATTAGACACGGATATCGGATAGCTTTAATAACATGCCTTGTTGGTAAAGACAGGGCTGTGTTGTCTTTAGCTAGGTGAGTAGCAAGGAATTTCATGGCCATAACGTGAACTGATCAACAGTTAATTAGGTGAGAGTGGCATTAGTCCATATCTGTATCTATATATAACTTACTGGACGCTATGTCTTGAGTAAATATTGGAACATTAATATATTACAGGTGTTAACCACAGAGTAACATGACTTAGACAGAGGTCCAATGTGAAACATTTTGTAGATTTTAACTTGTTACCACTGCATGACTGAATGTGTACATTAACGTACCTGTGGTTATCCAATACAGTTGGGGTACATGTCAAATTTAACTGGAAATTAGTAGCTCTGACATTACAATAAATAAATGCTGATTTTCGTGACCAAATAGGAAATGACAGTGAATTTCACCACAGGCTTAGATAATCTAATTCTGTGATTTCACATTTCTAAACTTTTGTGATCAGTATGTTTACTATATAAATTGACAATGTAGATATTTTTTTTATTTGTATATAATAATAAATGCGTCAAAGTTATATGAAAACATTTGAATTTGTGCCAGATATTTGAGAAATTACATTATATGGTAAATCATCAGGTTAATTTGCACAGGAAATTTTGTCCGTTAAGTATATATAAAGAAATGGCTTCAAAACAATACAATATTTATTTAAAACTTAGTATGTTTGTAATTGTATCTTTGCCTGTTCACATAATAGCCAAAACTCTAGATTACAGAAAGTATGAAAAATGCAAATATCTGCATTATGGTTTATAGTGAAAATCACTCAAGATCTGCTACCTATTATTTGTACTTAAGATATTGATGACTTGATTTTCAGTTGATTTGGTAAGTATCTTACAACATAACCATGTTTTTATTAACGGCTGATAACGGGAATTTTGTTTTTCTATCACAGATTATGTTCACTGTTGAGGAGTTGTGTTGGAGGAGAGAAACAAACACCATTTTGTGACCAAAAGTTGAGAACATACTTGGCTCGCTATGCCAGGATTTAATACCTGTAATAAACTTCTTCAGAAGTATGAAGAGGAAAAAGCCTACCGTATACATAAAAGAAAGGTAATGTATTTGCTTATTACTGATTTAAATGCCAATTAATCAATTGGATTGATTGCATAAATGCACTAGTTCAAAATACAAGTTTGATATGTATTTTACTCATCACTTTTCTTTAGGATAGATCATGATAAAGTCGAAGTATCTTATTCCTTACAAGAGGTCATTTTTTTTGCATTATATAAAAGTGTTTGGTATAAAATATTCTGTAATTTTAAGTATTTAGTAACGCTCTATTTTGTTTTGTTTAATTCTAGCCAAAATTTGGCCCAATTAAGCCTCCATGAAACAAAAAATTAAAAAAAAGGAAATTCTAAAAGGAAAATAAAAATGGTATGAAACATTTAATTGTAAATAAATTTTAATAAACATGATTTCTAGTATTTAAAATTGAATTTTGACAGAAATGTTATACCCTTTTTTATCTGATTAGTTAAATTTCCAATTTAGTTGCATGTGACACATATTTAGCTGGTCTGCAACAAATTGTCTTTGAGCTTATACATAGTATGGTGTCACCAATACAGGCTATATCAGGGATTGCTGCATAACATTGATAAGTTTTGTTTACAACTCATTAAAAATATATGAGTAAGTTAACAAAATGTTTTAAACCAAGTAGTATGTTCATGTCTATCGCAGCAGTCATTAACTATTTATTATAAAGTGTTTCCTAAATGTTTACAGCAAAAATTTAAAAAAGAAAAGTTGTCAGACTTTCTTACATTCTGTTTCTATGTGTTACTTTGATTTTCTAAAGATGAAAACCTTTGATTATATACATTGTTTACATGATCAATGAGCTATTGATTATGGCACATGAAATTCTTGTTTACCACCATTTACTATCATTCATGGACCATGACCTACTCACAAAAGGGTTTTATATATTGATGTAACATGATTTCTTCTAGAAAAAACATGCATGTTTTGCAAATTACAACTTAGGATGACCAAGATATTTTTGAAATATTATTTGATGTTTTTTTAAGAGTGAAATGCTGATATTATATAATTTGTGAAAAGGACATTTTATTGTTAAAAATATACACTGTATTTTCCATTAGACATTGCATATTTTCCAAATTAATAGTAAAATCACCCCAGAATGATGGATATCTGAACATGACATTAGTATCTGACCACATCAGGAACTTTTGGCGATAACAAAAGGAGATATTTATTGTTAAATTATCTGAGGTGTTTTAATCTTTAAGATAATAAGCACTTTGTAAAAAAAAAATCACTTCATATTTCTAAGAATTCCCAATTTGGATATCAGTGCACTATTTACCAAAGCCATAATTCCCAAAATAGTGATAAAAAAGCCCCAGGTTATACAAGCTGTAATATGACAACTGAATAACATTTCTTCAGCACTCCAGGCTCAATTTTCTAAAGTTGTAAACCTGACCAATGAAGAAGTTTATTGGTCAATATATATATAACTATCCAGAAAGTTGATTCTGATACTTAGAACATGGAGCGTGAATCAGCTCTGACATTTTGTAAACCTAGAAAGGAGGCTGAATGTAATTTCAAATATAACAATGTTTTCTTATATGAAAGATGAAAAGGTTAGTATATATATATTATAAAAAGAAAAATTCTCAACAACGAGTCTTTAGTACTTTCATCTCTACTGAAGAATCTCCTAGAAGAGATGAAAGTACTAAAGACTCGTTGTTGAGAATTTTTCTTTTTATAATATTTCTTGTTTGTAAGAATCATTTTTCTGATTTATGATATACATATATATATATATATAGGTACAATTGTACTTTTAAAAACTGTAGTTCCAAAACTGCTGGTGAATTTCCTGTACATGTATTTAAGGGACTGTATGAGACACTTGATATGGATTGATGAGTCAATCTGTTACGTTAAAGTTCCACCTATATTTTGTCACTGTAATTTGGTCCTAGTGTGGACGTTTTGTTCATTATCAGCATGGCTTCCTACACCTGGCTGATTTTGTTGACTTAAGTTGTTGTGGACCTTTACAACCACTACTTAGCTACCATTGACAGACTTGATATCGCTTAATACACACAGCTGAGGTCAATACATTACAACACATGGAAAATAGCAGATGAATTCAAATAGTGCTATGTGAAATGTACCTTCAGCTTTAAACTAAGGTGTGTAATGTGTATTAATGAATGATTATATAGCATTTTTTTTTAGTACCAATTAAACAATCATAGTATGTGATCATGAAGTCTGTAAGCTTCAAGCTTTTGATTTGTAAATACAGATATAGTCATCAGTTATAATTTTAAAGTTGCTTCTTCTCGACATAGACCCCTTTAGCCGGACAATTATTCCCTAATACATTGATTAGTTATGTCAATTATGTACACGACATGTGATGGGAACCAAATACATCAAAATAACAACTGTAGAATGGTATCAGAAAAGCTATGCATGGCTTACTGCTGTGTATTGCAATTTGAGAATGGATCAACTCTCTAAATATGGACTATTATATACAGTTTATGTTTAAATATGCTGTATACAAATCTGAACTTTTGTGTTGCCCTTATCTTATTACAGTTGGTAAATATCCCCATTCATACAGTGAATTAAAGATGTTTGTGAACCTGTTATATTAGACAGACATTACACATTCATGTTTCTGAATATGAATCATACTCTACTGTTAAGTGGTACATGTACTTCTCTTATTATAGAACTAAACAATACACTGAGGCTCACACTGTATGTACACGCTTGAGGCTCACACTGTATGTACACGCTTGAATTGAGGCTCGCACTGTATGTACACGCTTGAGGCACACTGTATGTACACGCTTGAATTGAGGCTCACACTGTATGTACACGCTTGAGGCTCACACTGTATGTACACGCTTGAGGCTCACACTGTATGTACACGCTTGAGGCTCACACTGTATGTACACGCTTGAGGCTCACACTGTATGTACACGCTTGAGACTCGCACTGTATGTACACGCTTGAGGCTCACACTGTATGTACACGCTTGAGGCTCACACTGTATACATTCTCGAAGCCTAGGATTTTATCTATTTCAGAGAGTAAATATATATTCATTGGATGTTTAATTACTCTGAAATTAACAGGAAAAATAAGCAATTTCTTTTAAAAGTAAAATTTTAAATGTTCCCATTACAAAGTATTAATATTGTTTCTGTGTTCTGGCTGTTTGATTTTTCTTAGTACTAATATAAGTATTGATAATATAATATTATATAGTATTAAATTGATCCTATGCCTTGTAATGGAGTAGGCCCGGTGTGAATCACAACGGGGCGTTGATTCACACTGAGGCGATTTTAGAATTAATTGACAACACATTGGTCTGCATCCATAAATACGATTGTAAAATAAACTATTTCTGTTGATGTCCTATATAACTTCAAATTAGACTCTGCCTAAAATGTTGTTAAATTATCAAGTTAACGTTGCAAGGGGAATCGAAATACGAATTGACCGCCATGCTAGAAACTTCCTCTCTCTTCCGATAAAGGTCAGTTGCTATATATGGGTGTCATGACCCAATATGGAAATTGTAGTAAACATGGCGGCATCAGCAGTAATACTATATTTGGCCATGTAGGCCATATATAGAAAGGATTATTGAGATAACATCACGCTTGATCTGTCATGGTGGTCGTTTCTATTCTTTACCCCCAAGACGAACTTTTTTTTATTAGTAAAGATTCGTTTTTTCAACAATTATGCAAGATTTTGATAACATTATACTCATATGAGGCCTGAATTATATGTAATCTTACAGATAAGCACCTTCGATTTTTCTCCATTAGTTGGCATAGGACTGCTTTGTAGCTCTGACGACACAACATAATAAAAAAATCTCGTTAGAGAGCTTCGTTATAAGAGCCATTTTTTGTGTGTTCTGGCTGTCTGTTGAGAACTAAGTAAGTAGTAGTTGCTGTCTAATGAAGGTGATAAGTTATCAGTAATAAGTTCTGTGTACTGGTTGTCTGATAAAGGTGCTGAGTTATTTGTAATGTGTTCTGTGTACTGGTTGTCTGATAAAGGTGCTGAGTTATCAGTAATGTGTTCTGTGTACTGGTTGTCCGATGAAGGTGATAAGTTATCAGTAATGTGTTCTGTGTACTGGTTGTCTGATAAAGGTGCTGAGTTATCAGTAATGTGTTCTGTGTACTGGTTGTCTGATGAAGGTGATAAGTTATCAGTAATGTGTTCTGTTTACTGGTTGTCTGATAAAGGTGCTGAGTTATCGGTAATGTGTTCTGTGTACTGGTTGTCCGATGAAGGTGATAAGTTATCAGTAATGTGTTCTGTTTACTGGTTGTCTGATAAAGGTGCTGAGTTATCGGTAATGTGTTCTGTGTACTGGTTGTCCGATGAAGGTGATATGTTATCAGTAATGTGTTCTGTGTACTGGTTGGCCGATGAAGGTGATAAGTTATCAGTAATGTGTTCTGTTTACTGGTTGTCTGATAAAGGTGCTGAGTTGTCAGTAATGTGTTCTGTGTACTGGTTGTCTGATGAAGGTGATAAGTTATCAGTAATGTGTTCTGTTTACTGGTTGTCTGATAAAGGTGCTGAGTTATTTGTAATGTGTTCTTTGTACTGGTTGTCTGATAAAGGTGCTGAGTTATCGGTAATGTGTTCTGTGTACTGGTTGTCCGATGAAGGTGATAAGTTATCCGTAATGTGTTCTGTGTACTGGTTGTCTGATGAAGGTGATAAGTTATCAGTAATGTGTTCTGTTTACTGGTTGTCTGATAAAGGTGCTGAGTTGTCAGTAATGTGTTCTGTGTACTGGTTGTCCGATGAAGGTGATAAGTTATCCGTAATGTGTTCTGTGTACTGGTTGTCTGATGAAGGTGATAAGTTATCAGTAATGTGTTCTGTTTACTGGTTGTCTGATAAAGGTGCTGAGTTGTCAGTAATGTGTTCTGTGTACTGGTTGTCCGATGAAGGTGATATGTTATCAGTAATGTGTTCTGTGTACTGGTCGTCTGATGAAG